CCTCAGCTTGGGGACCAACGGATACAGAACGGCCCACTTCAGGGATCCTCCACTGAATGTTGCACACTGTGTACCTACCTGGGTACGACAAGCCCGTGTCTGGGTGCTAGAATTTTGGAGATGCCCTTGGGGAGCTTATGGCCTATGGCAGAAACAGAGAGAGAGAGGAAGTTTCAGCTCGATGTGACAGGTGTTCTGCAAGGGCCTGTCCAGCACACCCAAGAGCCCAAGGGAGGGCTTCAGAGCCTAGTCTGCCAAGGTCAGAGGGTTAGGTACCTCGTGAAGCTAAGGATGAAGTCTTTGGAGGTCCAGAGAGGATGGAGCCCACCTAGGACCCGGAGGAGGGACAAGAACTGTAGGAAGGAGGTCAGAGGAGAGTGGTGTCTCAAGAGACCCTGAGAAGGGAGTAACCAGCAGCCCCAGTACCACAGAGGACACCAGGCATGTGGGTTCTAGGATCAGTGTGCCATATTGATCAGGTGGTACAGGGAGGGGGAGATGTGTGTCCGAGTCCAGAATTGACGACAGTGGTTGATAAGGAAGCCAAAACAACACCTAGGCATCACGCCATAAAGCTCAGCTAAGAGTCTGAGAGGAGGAGGTGGGGCAGCAGCTTAGAGGGCTTGGTGTGAGGGCTGAGACAGCAAAGCCCAGGATGAAGACTAAGGGGGCTCGTGGATGGAAAAAGAGGGGGCAGGAGGCATGGCGGTGGGGCTGGACTAGGAGACTCCTGAGGGTGGAGGAAAGGTGAGGGACGTCAGCACACAGGGTAGGGCACTTGGAGCAGTTTTGACTGGTGGACTCAGTGAGGCTGGAAGGAAGTACAGTATTCTGTTGGTCATGTGGACAGTGAGAGAGGGAGTGGGCTGCAGCCAAGTAAGCCGGTAATTAAGCAGCCTAAGGCTTGAAATTTCTTGTGGCCCCAATGTGTGGAATTTCTCATTATGTGGAGCTTAGCTGCTGAGCATGGAAGTGGAGTGAGGTAGGCTGAGACTGCTTAACTGAAAGGCTACTTATGGGGGTGGGAGATGGCATGAGGATATCATAGACAGGTCCCTACACTCAGGGACCAAGACCACATTTTGGTAGAGGAAACAGACACTCCCATTAGCAAGTACACTGCAGCTTGGAAGGAGCATTGTGAGGAAGAAGGCAATGAGAGTGCCTGGGCGAGGCCCCTGGAGTCAGCCTGTTATATTCAGGGAGCAGATGGAGGCAAGAAGGCTAAAAAAAGGTGGCGTAAGTTGTCAGAGCTGGACCCAGGGACACTGAGGCCTGGAGATGATGTGGGTCACACAGTAAGAATCAGGTTTGGAGGCTTGCTTGAGGGTGGGAAGGCACTTAGGCAGGTTGGCCGAGAGAAGCAGTGAAGGGAGAAAATGCCGCCGTGTGAGCCCCACCTCTCCTAAAGCGAGCTCCACTCAAACATCCGTTCCCCCCACTCCACCCAGATACAGTAGTCAGTCCTCAGTCCGCATCCTGTGGGAGCCAGCAGCAGCATTTGGTGCGCTGATCCCTCCCTCCTTGAAGCACTTTCTTCCCTGGCTTCTGGAACCCCAGCCTTCTCCTCACCTCTCTGGTTCTGCCTCCTCATTGCCCCAACCTGTCAACTTTGGCATGTCCCCGGGCCCTCACCTTGACTTCTCTCTGTACACTCAACTCCCAGGTGCTCTTGTCTAGCTTCATGGCTCCAAATCCCAGCTCTAATTCTGATAGCCCCCAGATTGCTAGCCACGGTTCTATAACCTGCTGCCTGCTCACCATCTCCATCAGCAAGTTGCAAGGGAAGGTTTTCTAAGAAGAATCTCACACTCAGTGTGTCCCAAACTGAGCTCTTGACCTTCACCCCAACCTTGTCACCCCAACATCATCACCATCTCAGTCAGTGGCAGTTTTATCCTTCCAGTTGTTTAGGCCCCAGACCTCAGAGTTGTCCTTGACCCCCCTTTCTCTCATATCGCCATCTCTTCCCATCAGCAAGTCCTGTCTGCTCTAAGATCTTTAGCCCCTGAGAAATCTCTCAAGTAGCTCATAATGTACATATACTTGATTCTTTGAGTATGGACCTATGTAATAATATATTTGTAGTATTCACAGAAACATGCTGCATATAAAAAGATACATGTGCTAAATCTAATTCTCTAGTATTTTTAATTTTGTGTGAGAAACAGCAGAATGAGGGGTATTTATGGTAGACTGGTTTTGAGTAAGCCCTAAGTGTGTCCTGCAGAGCCACAACACTCCAGGCCTCTGTGGAACTGCCCATCTAGGCAAGAAGTCCTACAGAAAAGGGACCACAGGCCCTTTAGAAAAAAGTAATGTCTGTTCTATAGGGTTTGCCAGGCAATTAGAGGAGGAGGCGGGCCTTCAGCCCGAGCACCTGTGCCTTGTGCTCAGGGAGGAAGGGGGAGTAGTGGGGAACCAGGGACTTTTGAGTCCAGGAGGGGTGATCCTCACCTACTCTGACCTGCTCCTTGGGACCAGGTGAGGCTTCAAGCTCTGAAGAAGAGCCTCCATCCCCAGAGGACAAAGAGAACCAGGCCCCGAAACGGGCTGGCCCGCATCTGCGCTTTGAGATCAGCAGTGAGGATGGGTTCAGCGTGGAAGCAGAGAGCTTGGAGGGTGAGTTGGAAGTAGCAATGACAGGGAGGGAAGGTATCCCATAGAACACCAGCCTGACTCTGCTCTCTACCTGCCCTCTTCTCAGGGGCATGGAGAACTCTGATTGAGAAGGTTCAAGAGGCCCGAGGGCATGCCCGGCTTAGACATCTCTCCTTTAGTGGTAAGTGGGGGTCCACGGGGATTCTGGGGCCTGGGGTGACTCCCTGAGGGCAAGATGGGCCTCTGACATGATTTGTGTGTCCTCACCTTTGACTCCGCAGGAATGAGTGGGGCAAGGCTCCTTGGCATCCACCACGATGCTGTCATCTTCCTGGCAGAGCAGCTACCCGGGGCCCAGCGCTGCCAGCACTATAAGTTCCGCTACCACCAGCAGGGAGAGGGCCAGGAAGAACCACCCCTGAACCCTCATGGGGCAGCCCGTGCCGAGGTCTATCTCCGGTGAGAGGGCTGGGGCACGATGCCTGGGTCGGAGGAGCTCTGTGCGAGTTCTTGAGGGTGTGACAAGTCCATACAGATTGGAGATGGAGGCCTGGGGAGAAGACCCTCCACCACTCAAGGCACTAGAGTTCACATCAGAAGAACGAACCCCATCCATTCCCCTTTTACTGTGTCTTCAGTCGTAGCGGTATTCCTCCTGCCCTGCCAGCAGCAGGCCCAGGCCAAAGAATAGATGGGTACCATGTGGTTGGAGGAATGCCTGTGAACCTCCCTCCTTCCCTCCCTCCCTCCCACCTGCAGAAAGTGCACCTTCGACATGTTCAACTTCCTGGCCTCCCAGCACCGAGTGCTGCCTGAGGGAGCCACCTGTGACGAGGAAGAGGATGAGGTGCAGCTCAGGTCAACCAGGTACAGAGGGCAGCCAGGATGCTGGGGGTGGTCTGGAAGGGTCCTAAAGAGGGTGACCAGGGGCAAGAGAGGTCATTCCTGGATACCAGCCTGTGTGACACTGCTGCCCCCACCAGACGTGCCACCAGCCTGGAGCTGCCCATGGCCATGCGCTTTCGCCACCTCAAGAAGACATCCAAGGAAGCTGTGGGTGTCTACAGGTTAGTGGGGTTGGGGGGAGGATGCCCCTTGGGTGGATGGACAGGCACCCTGGTGTGGGGCTGCCTTGGTTCCATCCCCCTGCCCCCTGAGCTCGCCCTTGCCCATCCTACCCTGCAGATCTGCCATCCATGGGCGGGGCCTGTTCTGTAAGCGCAACATCGATGCTGGCGAGATGGTCATTGAGTACTCTGGTATTGTCATTCGCTCTGTGCTGACTGACAAGCGGGAGAAGTTCTACGATGGGAAGGTGGGCTCCACCAGGTGATGGGAATGAGGTGGGTGAAGCAGGGCCTGCCCATGGGAACAGAGCACCTGACTGCCCCCACCCTATCCTTGTAGGGCATTGGGTGCTATATGTTCCGTATGGATGACTTTGACGTGGTGGATGCCACGATGCATGGCAACGCCGCCCGCTTCATCAACCACTCGTGTGAGCCCAACTGCTTCTCTCGAGTCATCCACGTGGAGGGCCAGAAGCATATCGTCATCTTTGCCCTCCGCCGCATCCTGCGTGGTGAGGAGCTCACCTATGACTACAAGTTCCCCATCGAGGATGCCAGCAACAAGCTGCCCTGCAACTGTGGCGCCAAGCGCTGCCGTCGGTTCCTTAACTGAAGCCGTGGCTGCCCACCACGCCCCCGCTGCCATCTTGCCCCTAGCCTCGGGGCTCCCTAGTCCCTCCCAGAGCATCTCACCCCCACCCTCATGTTCAGGGTGGATGTGGGCATGCAGGTGGCAAGGGCCCTGCCTCCACCCCTCCAGCCCACCCAGCAATCGCCCCCTTTCTGCCCTGGGGGCCCAGGATGTAGATATTGTACAAAGGTTTCTAAATCCCTTCTTTTCTATGCACTTTTTTATTTAAGAGGGTGGGATCCCTGGTGGGAACCCCCCACAATAAAGTCTGTCAATGTTTGGAGAGGTTGTCTTCCCATTTCTATGGTGCCGGGGGCAGGTAGGAGCTTCTGTTTCTCCGTGCCCCCCACCCATCCTGAGCCAAGGAAGCCCATCAGCCTCAAAAGGTAGGTGAGAGGCCACTGTTCAGAATTAGAAGTAAATTGTGGGGTCTGTGTAGGCTTCAGAGCAACAAACGTTCTACATATTCCAGTCAGAACCCAGCTGGCTCCCGGGGCTGAGCTCTCCCATGGGAAGCAGGAGTATATTTCTCAGAGGCACCAGAGACCAGCTCGCAGACATCTGGTCTTGTGTGTGTGGTAGGAATGGGCCCTTTTTCTAGGGGACTAAGAGGAATGAGAGGATGTCTCTTGGTTCTTGGCCCAATTAAGACTGTATTTCAAGAGGCCCCCTTAGTTGAAGCCCAAAGACATCAGGCACTTATTTCAACAGAAACTTTACTTTTGTTGAGTACTAGCCAGGCAAACCTCATATCAGCCAAGCTTGGACAGCACCCTCAGAGCATCTGCCCGCCCTAGCTGGGCCAGGTGTGTGCCAAGCTGGCCCAGAGAGGCAGAGGGCTCCCTTGCCACCACCATCTCGATCAGGGCCCGCAGAGGTGAGCGACTGGGTCGCAGAGAGTAGGCAAAGGTGGACCAGGCAGCAGGCAGGCCATATCTTGCAGCCAGGTGTCGAGTGGTGCCACAGGCTATCGCCCCACCTGGCCCAGGCTCCGGATCCAGCAGCACAATCAGCTCTTCCAGCACCTCCAGCTCATCCAGGAGGCGAGACAGGGGCTGCGATGCCAGACTCGGGAACTCTGGGAGACAGGGAAGGATGAGCGGGAGGAAGGGCGGGCTTCCAGTCCACCTTCCCCCTCCTTAGTGTGTCCCCGACTAACCCCTGCCCAGGAGTGGAAGTAGGGAGACCTCCTTCCATGAGTGCCCCGCCTCAGATGCCTCCAGGGAGCCTGGAGAAGACGACTCCAAGGAGGTGAGGCCCTGGGTATTGGGATCTCCGCAAGCCGAGGCAGGATAGGTGTGGAGGCCGGCTTTCCCCTGTCCGCGGCGGCGGCAGTGCCTTCGCAGGGCGAGTAGGAGCATCACTGTGGAGGTCAGGAGCAGAACCAGCACCAGGGGCAGGGCAAAACTCGGCAAGGCCTGCTGAGGGACGTTGCGCTCAGATGTCCCCGGGAGACTGGAAGTCGCCGGTGAGCTGGGCTCCTGGGAGCTAAGGACGCTCGGACGGCAGAGCTCCTTGGTAGGGACGGGCTTCTGGGAATAGCGAGCTGGAGTAAAGCGGGAGGTGCACCCCACTCCTGCTCTCTCAGCCCAGTCCTCCCATCCCTATATCCCTCAGTGGGGCCAGGTCCCCGCCTGATCCAGACCCCCACCCCTTTAACCCAGGGAGGTCACCTCCTGACACTGCATGCTCCTACCCATATCCTCCTCAGTGGGGTACACCCCCTCCCTTGATCCACATCCCGCCCATCCGATCCCAAGACACGCCCTCCAACTCCGCCCCACTCTGGCAAGCTGCACCCTGACCCAAGCCCTCCCGAGGAGACCCAGGCCCTCCCGAGGCGATCCGCACCTCTCTGCAGCGCAGCCGGGTTCCACCGCGCCTCCCGGCGGGAGTAGGAGCCGTGGCTCCGCCGCCACAGGGGCTACACAGCTCCGCGCTGTCGGGGTTGCACTGCCCAGGAGGACACTCTTTGAAGGGGGGCGTTACGTGATCGCCAAAGTCATTGAGGCCACAGTTTTCCGAAAACTCGAGGTCTAGTGGGAGACAGGGTCTCACGAGGGGCCAAGCCCCGCCTCCTCTGCGCTGGTGACGCCCTTTCCCCCCCGTCCTATCCCAGCAGGCCCCGCCCCTTGCACTCTACCCGCCCGTCCTATCGGCGTCCTCCCCGCGCTCGTGCTGCCGGCCTGGAAACCTGCTCCGCAGGCCCCGCCCCCTCACTCCCTCCGCCCGGTGCCCCGCGCTCTGCCCGCGTTCCTCTCCCCCGCCGCCGCCTCCTCACCGCCCCAGGACACCCCCTTTCGCCGGGGCCCCGTCATCACCCACGCCAGCCCCCTACCCCGAAGCGAGCCTAATGGGCTGTACCCCGCAGACCTCGCCCCTTCCCCGATCACTCCCGGCTCCTGGCTATATGCATACGCCGGGTCCCTGCTCCTCACCCGGGCTGGGGGGCGGCCCGAAGCGCTGCAGGCAGCTTCCGCAGCACTGGTTGTCAGGGTTCCAGTACTCCAGGAGGCCGCAGTGCCGGGAGGCCTCCCGCGGCGGCGCCAGGGCCAGGAGCAGCGCGGCCGTCCGTAGGAGGCGGAGGGGCCTCATCCTGCTGCGGGGCCTACAGCCTGGGGGGCTGTGACCGCAGGACTTCCGGCCACAGCGCTGCTGCCGCACTTTCCAGGAAACGGGGCAGAAGAAGGAAACAGTGGATGTGGGGGCATAGGATCCCCACACCCCTTCGGAAAAGGGGAATCTACCCACCAACCCCAGTCCAGCTCCTGGCCCATTATCAGAGAGGCCACAAGGCCTCAAGATGGCTAGAGCGAGGACGGAGCCAGACTGCGTGGATTCTTGTCCCACGTCTGCTATCTTCCCGCCCTCTTTCCCATCTGTAAAATGGGATAATAGCACCTGTCTCATAGGGTTCTTATAGAGAATTAAAACCGTTGCTAGAAGTAAAACGCTTAGAACAGCACTTGGCATATGCTAAGCTTAAGTATTCAGCATTACCAGCTCTCATTTCAGGGCGGCCAGCCTGGAGGGTGGGGCCCTCACCCACTGGAGACTCTCATTCAAGTCCCAGGGACCTTACCTTAGCTCCTAACCCCAGTTTCTTCCGGGCTGGGAATCCTCCAACCTGCCACAACCAGGCGTCTTCCCCTGAGAAGCTTCAGGTGGACGTGCTGAAGTTTCCAGCACAAAGGTGTCCCCACCCCACCAGTCCCACTTGGGGGTTTCTGGGGCCCAGGGCTCTGAGCCAGCTGCTTTCCCACCTGTTGGAGATTACTTGATGAGGTTGTGGCCAGAGCCCAGCCCCACTTCCCCTTGTCAGGGGATGTGGGGGTGGAAGGAAACTCCTACCCGCAGCAGGTTCAGCTAACAAGGAAGCTCTAAACCCTCAATACAGAACTTTATTAGGGGAGGGGCAGTAGGAGAAGGTCCCTGTGTAGAACAGATTATATCATGGAGCCCTGGAGCATGGGGAAGATGGCACCAGGAAGTTAAGGGGGCTTTGAGGAGGTATCCAGGCCAGGAAGTGATGGCAGGCAACGGGATGGCAGGCAACGGGGCCAGAGTCTCAGAAGCGGCCATGCCGATGGTCTGGGGATCGTCGTCGGTTTCTTTCACGGGGACGGTGGCCAGTATGAGACCTTGGGGGTGACCTGGGAAACAGAGTGGAGAGAGAAGGGTTAGAGCCATGGGGAGTGGTGTGCAGATCCCCAAGGGCTGCCTCTCTGCTCTGGGATGGGGCAAGGGCAGGTGATGAAGTAACTAGAGTTCCAGGGGCTGATCTCAGGATTGGAGATGTAGGTTGGCCTTGGGTTGGGGGGTTTGGGGTGCAGGCTGGTTTTGTGGTTGGGACGTAGGTGCTGGTCTTGGGATGGGGTTCAGGGCTATTCTTAGGGTACAGAAGGCTTGAGACAGTTATTGGGGCATAGGATGAGGTTCATCTCAGTACATGGGGCTTAGGGTATAAAGAGTCGTGGCAGGCTGGTCCTGAGGTACCTGCGCCTGGGTCCCCGCCCGTAGAGCTGCCGCCGGAGGTTCCGGGAGATGGGTCGCAGGTGCATGAAGTTGCAGAAGCCACCCCGGGTACATTCCCTAGGTAGAGGATGGATGGATGGACGGAGGAAACCATTGTCACTGACAGCCCCCAACACACACACAGTAGTCTGAGGCTCAAGGTGCCCATCCCAGCCCTGTACTACCATACCCCATCTCATACTGCCGACAGCATGACTCCCGGAAGTCGGTGACAGGAGACAGCTCGGCATGCACAGCCTGCCCATTGAACCAGCGGTTATTGAGTTCAGCCACTGCCCGCTCTGCATCCTCCTCGCGCCGAAACTGAGAGGAAAGTCGGTCAATGTCAGCAATCAAACTCAGAAATCTTCAGGGGACTAGTTAGTAGCTCTGGGGCTGGATTGGATTTAGCGATGGACCTCAAGCTGTGAGGCTTCAGTGGTGGCCATTAGGCATTGAAATGCCTCCACCTCTGGGCTCTAATGGGGGGACAGCAGGCACCTTGACATAGACATTGCCTACGAGGTGATCCCCCAGGTTGTCGCACACATTCATCTCTTCAATCTCCCCGTACTTCTCCTGCAGTTCCGTAAACACCTCCTGCGGAAGACCAGGAGGAACTCAGCTGAGCTCCCCGCCCAAAGGAAACACAATCCACCCTGCCAACCCTCACCTCGAAGAAGTTATCATAGTGTTCTTGCACCTCCACGTCGCTCACGTGACCTGGAGGAGGGGGCAGGGTGGAATCAGGGGGTGGCCTGCTGGCAGTTATCCGCCCTGCCCCCAAGACCGGTCCCTCACTCACAATGCGATCCGTCTGCGGTTTGGGCGGTGTTCTGTGGATTCCGGTACAGGTTGAGCAGCACTATGGTCTGAACAGAATTTAAAAGGGACAGGGCCTGAGCTCAGAGAGCGGGGTACATGCAAATAGCTGGGATACGAAGGTTGGGGTGGGACCTTGCACCAGAGAAGCCTAAGCATTTTGAGGGCATCAGCGATGCCTGCCCCAAGGAAACCAGAAGAGGGGACACCTAGCAGTGAGGCACAGCCCAGGGGTATAGTCTTGTACGTACGGGGGCGTGGCCAAAATCCTGGGAGAAGGGCTTGAAGGTTGGGGGAGGAACCTGCACAGGTCCGACAAGAAACAAGCGGGGCAGTAGGGTGGGCCTTAGAAATCCGGAAAAGGCGGGAGCTCATGATGATGGACAGCAGAAGGGGAAGGGCCGGGAAGCGTTAACCCCCGAGGCTCCGTGGTGGGGCTCACCTGGCTGAAAGTCGGTTTGTTGTGAAGCCGGGAGCACCGGTCCCCGTGCCGGCAGGCCCCGATCTTAAAGTAAAAAGAGCAGTTAACCCTGGAAGAGGTGCAAAGACAGAGGTGAACCAAGGGCCGGCGAGGCCGGACACCCCAGAAACACCGCCCCACGCCGCCCAACCACCAGGGAACCAAGAGCCCTGTCCCGGGCCCCCTAAAGAGCCACTCCCTGTGCCCGTTCTCACTTGTCCTTCTCAGTCCCGAATATCGAAGCTAAATATTCAGCCATTTTTACCCGAACCCTCCAATTCTGTCTGCTCTTTACATCACTTCCATCGCTTAGGAGCATGGGAAGTGTAGTTCATCGACGCCTCGGGTCGCTCATCACGCTCTCAAACTCCCTAGTGCGCTTGCGTGGTGGAGGCCTGCGCCCTCTGCGCAGAACGACCGGCCGGAGTTCCCTGAATGCGCATGCGTGAAGCGTTGCCTCACCAAAAAGACTACAAACTCCAGAGATGCTTGCGGCAGCTCGCGCAAGCGTCCGTAGTTGAAAGTGGCGAAACGTCCAGGCCACAGGAAGTAGATTGCCCTGGTAAGTTAGGGGTCGTTTCGCACCCCCCAGTAAACATAAAGAGCGTTTCAACCCAGTTAGCTTTCTGGTGGGGGCAGGTGTGCCCCTCTTTCAGTAAACCCACCTTTCAGTTTATCTCCATTTGTCGTAATAGGGGCGTGGTTGTTCGCGATCCTTGCATCTGTCACTTGGGGTCCAGGCTGGGTCTCGCCCCGCGGACCCTCGGGACGACCGTGCCTCCGCGCAAATATGAACTTGGAGCGAGTGTCCAACGAGGAGAAGTTGAACCTGTGCCGGAAGTACTACTTGGGTAAGGGCCGGTGTCCTAGGGTCCCAGGAGAAGAGAGGGGACCGGACTAGAGCGCCTGAGGGAAGAGGGTCTGGGGGCCTGAATTATTGGGTCTAAGGGATGAAGCGGCTGGGGACGCGGACTCCTGGGTCTGAGGGAAGGACCTGGGTCCTGAGGAAGGAGGAGGCTGGGACCTCAACTTCTGGGTCCCAAGAGAGGAGAGGAATTGAGGAGCTGGACTCCTGAGTCCTGAGAAAGAGATGGTTGAAGAATCAGACTCCTGGATCCCAGGGAGCAGCCAGGATTCCTGAGTCCCTGATAGCAGAGATTTCCATTTGAACTTGGGTATGGGAGAAGACTTCCAAATAGGTCCTCTAGGTGGGTATTGGCGAGGATCCTCATTGCCTTATGTCCCAGTTCGCTTTTTTTCTTTTTAGGTGGGTTTGCTTTCCTGCCTTTTCTCTGGTTGGTCAACATCTTCTGGTTCTTCCGAGAGGCCTTCCTTGTCCCGGCATACACAGAGCAGAGCCAAATCAAAGGCTGTGAGTCCAGGGCACAGATGAAGGGAGGCCGTCCAGTGTGGGGAGGGGAAAGCAGGAAGCTTTGGTGGGAGAGGATGATGGAAGTTCCAGAATTCTGGGTCTTTGTAGAAGAGAAAAAAGGGTTGGTCTGGGGCAGACCAGAGAGCAGGTGGAGGCCAGCCTTCCCCACTCCTGTTCCCTCCTACAGATGTCTGGCGCTCAGCTGTGGGCTTCCTCTTCTGGGTGATTATACTCACCACCTGGATCACCATCTTCCAGATCTACCGGCCCCGTTGGGGCGCCCTTGGGGACTACCTCTCCTTCACCATACCCTTGGGTACCCCCTGACAACTTCTTCTGCACAGGCCCAGGAACCTGCTCATTCTCCCAGGATGTGTTCCTCTACTCTAAGCCAACTTTCAAGCCCCTGAGACTTGTTCCCATCTCCTGTGTTCTCTGCTGACATCCCCCAATAAAGGACCCTAATTCTCTATGCTGACTCTCTAGGATCTTTTGGAGGTTGAATCATAAAATGATTATTAATATTCAGAAACATTTGTTGAATGCTTACGTTGTGTCCGGCTTAGTGCTGCACACATTATGTGCATTTTTTTCATTGACTACTAATCATGATCCTCTGAAATAGGAAATTTCCCGCTCAGGAACCCTATTCTACACATGCAGAACCAAGAAAGGAATAATGCTTCCAGTACTAGGGGCTGCTATCCTGTACTGATAGTGTGTGAATTTTGAAAACATTACTTTCCCACTTAGCCTCAGTATTCTCATTGGAAATGTGGACCACAATGCTACCTCCTACAATTTGTCTGGGCCAAGGGACATGTGGTCAATGGAAGTTTCCCATTTTCTGAAGGAGCTGTCTGCAGCAATAGACATATTCAAGAGCTTTATTAGAGAAGGCTTCCTTGACCATCCTATTTAAAATTTCAATGCCCACATTGGTACTCCCTGTGTCCCTTTCAGGTTATATTCTTTGTCCTCTCACATTTCGTTTAAAATGTTTTACTTGTTTATCTTCCATCCTTTAAAATATAAGTTCTGTTAGGGCAAGGATTTTTGTCTGTTTTGTGCACTGCGGTGTCCCCAGTGGCCAGAAGAGTGCCTGGCCCCCTAATAAATATTTGCCAAATGAATGAGGTTGTGCCTGAAAAGAGATTAACAGGTAGCTGGCACCTAGCAAATGCCTAGTAAGAGGGAACCCCATCAAACTCCAGACTTGCCTTCCTCTTAGGGACAAGAGGGACTCCCACGGTTAAATAAATCCTGTCAATAGCTAAACTGGCGTTACTCAAAGCTCTGACACTACAAGTTTCAACAAGGTTGCTGTGCCCTGATCCTACGTCTTCCACCGTGCCTTGCGCGGCGCACGCGCCGTTACCCCGGCTAAGTCTCGGGAGCTAGAACTACATCTCCCAGGAAGCGCCCCGGGATGTCGTTGGTTTGTTTCCGGAAACGGGGCCCCAGAAAGGTGGGACTTAGAGCTGGGAGCCGACAGCGGCAGCTCTCAAATGGTCGGGGTACGAGATTGACGGCCGAACTGACTAATGGGAACAGGCGACTGCCGCAGGGGCCCGCCCTCAGAAGGGGAACTAGAGGAGCTGGCGGCAGCGGCGGCGGTCGCGGCCGGACACTGCTCAGGGCGGAGGGCTGTCCGCAGCCGAAGCTTACCTTTGACCTCTCCCCGTCTGCCTCCGACCTTGACTTGTGATCCTAGGCTCTTTTGGCTTCTCTGACCCAGCTAGCCAGACCCCAGACCCAAACCATGTTCCCGGTGAAGGTGAAAGTGGAAAAATCAGGTGAGGACCCCGAGGTCGGGGGCCTGTCCGGGTGCATCGGACTGATCAGGGGATGGGAGTCCCGACAGACAGGATTATCGCGATAAGGCAGACTGCGCGGCTTCTCCCTGCAGCCCATCTGACTATCGCTGTCAGGCATCGAGCGATTCCTGCCACCCTCATACCCTCCAGGTCTGTGCTCGAGATAGCTTTAAGGTTGAATGGTGGTGGCTCAGGCATTGTGGGGCGGTAAGAGATGGGGATCCTGAGCTGTGTGACTCTGAGAAGGACTCTTTTCTTGGTTCTGCCTCAGTTTCCCCACATCCAGCAGTGGTCGTGAGTCAAGCATTGTGCTGAACGCCTGAAGTACAGGGAAGCACTTAGTCCTCGCAGTCACTGTGTCCCACTAATCCTAGGAAGTAGGAAATGTGGCAGATGGGGAAACAAGCTGAGAGAGAAGAAGTGATTTGGGATTGGGGCCGAGCCGATGGGAACCCAGGACTGGCATGGTAAGGGCAGTGGGAGAGACACGGAATCCAGACAAAAAGATAATAGTGAAATGATGTAGGATGTTAGATGGTATAAGTGGTAATGAGATGAAACAGGAGAAGGTAAGGAGATCAGGAGGGAGGCAAGGTGAAGGAGAGAGACATGAGGATACGTGTGGGAACCGCGAATCAGACGAGGGAAATAGCTTTGAAAAGGCCCTGAAGTGGAAGCCTTGTCTGGCGTGTTCAGGGGCCAGCAGGGAAGCCTGTGTGGCTGGAGAAGAGTGGGTCAGGTAGACTGTGAGGAGATGGGGACAAACGGGAGGGGAGGGGGACAGGTTTGTGGGCCCAGGTTAGGACTTTGGCTTTTGCTCTGATGGAAATAGGGAAACAAGGAAGGGTTTTGAACTGAGAAGTGAGTTAATAAAGATGCCCCCCAGATGCCAAAAAAATTGTGGGTAGAAAAGTGAAAGGGGCCTGACCACCAATGATGGTGGCGGGAAGGAGAAGGCAAGGTCCTGGAGGCGTGCGAACACCAGGCTGAAGAGTGCGGACTGTCCTGGGGGCACTGCAGAGTCGTGGATTGTTCTGATCAGTGTCAGGAAGAATCCCCTGGCCACCTTGTGGTGGGTGGATCAGAAGGGGAGACTGAGGCTGGGAGCCCGGGGCGGGGGGGGGGGGGGGGGGGAGGAAGGGAAAGGACCAGAGTGGGTGGGGTAGGGAGGGGGAGGTGGGAGAGACCCTCAGGAGGCCAAGTGGACAGGCCATGGGGTTGATGGCCTGGGGTGGGGGAGAGAGAGAGGTGTCCATGTTGAAGCCCAGGAAGGGACTGGGGGACAGTGGGGCTACCCCTGAAATGAGGGCTCTGGAAAAAAGGTAAATGAGAGAGACACTGAGGCCAGTGTGGCCCTAGTAGGTGGAAGGAGCCTGGTGGATGTCCAGGGGGACGCGTACATGAGTCCGTGGGACCCCAAGGTCTGAGGTTCAGGAGAGACACGGGGGCAGGGAAGGAGATGTGGTCGATCCAGACCTTGGCTCCTGCCCAAGGCTCTTTGCTAGAATCTCAGCTGCCCCCAGCCCCTTCCTCAACCCCATCTCTCCTCTGAGGGATGTCAGGAATCCCTGCGTCTCCCGGTCTCCTCAGGAAGTCCCAGGGCTGGCAAAGCATGTCCTCGAGTGTCCTTCTAGGCTCTGAGCACTGGGCCACAGCTCCTACTAGAGGGAAGAGGAGAGCGAACACCCCACAGGAGTGAGAGGAGAATATTTATAACATCATCACCTCCTAAGTTCCGTGATGAAGGGAGGCCAACACAGGCTGACAGAGCCAGCCATCGCCTCTGCAGGCAGGAAGGTGGGCCCAGATCTCATTTCCTGGGGAAAAAAATGCCAAAAATGGGTATTTTACATGAAATCTCCCAATTGTTAAATATTGTCAGCTCATTCAGATTTAATTCAGATTATAAATAACACCACTGCCTCTGCCAAAAAAAGCACATCTGGTGGCGAGATTCTGTCCCCAGTGTGAGCCCCTGCCTCATAACCTCAGCTGTGGAGCCAGACAGCCTGGGTTCGGATCCTCAGTCCTGCCATTTCCTAGCTGTGTAACTTTGGGCAAGTGGCCTAACATCTCTGTGCGTCAGTTTCATTGTCTTTAAAATGGGGATAAACATCATATCTCCCTGCCAGGCTTACTGTGAGAATTCAGTGGGTTAATGTGTGTGAGGTGCTTGGAACAACGCCTGGCACATAGCAAGCACTGTGTACATGTCACTTATTATTATTGCATCCTGCTAAGAGATTCATCGACAACATGGTTTATTTAACCTCAGAGCAGTCCTAGCAGATAGGTGTCATTCGGAGACCCACTTTCAAGATGAGGAAACTGGCTCAGCGAGGTAAGGTGATTGGCTTTAGGTCACACGCTAGCATATGGGACAGTCCTGGAAGCTAGTGCTCCTGCTCATCGCTTCAGCAGTCTCTGCCCACTGCACCCTCAGCACGCCCGGGCCTGGCGTAGGATCGGATACGCATGCCCTTCCCTGGCCAGTTGGCTGTCCACCTGCCTGCGGCCTGGGAGCTGACTCCTGCTCTGTACCCTCTTCCCCAGAGTTGGAGATGGCCAAGGCCCGGAACCAACTGGATGCTGTTCTGCAGTGTCTGCTGGAGAAGAGTCATATGGACAGGTCAGGACCTGGCCCAGCATAGGGGCATAGCGGGTCAGGGGCCCTGGCAAGTTGGACCCTCTGGTCCTGGGTGGATCTAGGTGGGACAGAGGCTGGCTTAGTGGGGAAGGGGCCCAAAGGAGAGGCCACTTGGTGCCTTCCCACTCCAGGCCTTTGGAACCCTGAGCCCACAGTTTTCTTCTTCCAGGGAGCGTCTGGATGAGGAAGCCGGAAAGACCCCCTCGGACACCCACAACAAGTAAGTGTTGTTGCCGGGATCCGTGTCTGAGGGCTTGTCGTGGATAACTCTTCCCTCATGCACGCCCTGAGCAGTCTGCCCCATGCTTCCCCACAGTCCTAACCACTCTACGCAGACAAAGACCCTGGGGCAGCAAACACTTAGGTTCCCTCACAGTTGGCACCTGGAGCCCCAGGGGCGTGGGTGGGACACAAGGCCTGAGAGGTTGGTGGGCTCCACGTGGGCATCTCAGGGTTGATCTCAGGGCATCCCCAGGATGCCTTTGGGGGGTTTGAGCAAGCATTTGTTCAAGGGTCAGCCTGCTGATGCCTTGTCTCTCCCCACAGAGATTGCTCCATCGCGGCCACCGGCAAACGGTAAGGTGGCAGGGGCGCCAACCAGCTGAGGAGAGGTCCCCAGCCCCCACCCCGGTCCTGACATTCTCCCTCCCCACTCAGGCCGTCTGCCCGCTTCCCCCACCAGCGGAGGAAGAAGAGGAGGGAGATGGATGATGGGCTGGCTGAGGGAGGGCCACAGCGATCCAGTGAGTAGGTGGTAGCCCTGGAGGGCGGGCAAGAATAGGGGCTGCGTGAGGACGTTCACATCCCTCCCACTCCCACCACCCTAGACACGTATGTGATCAAGCTGTTTGACCGGAGCGTGGACTTGGCTCAGTTCAGTGAGAACACACCGCTGTACCCGATCTGCCGGGCCTGGATGCGCAACAGCCCCTCAGTGCGCGAGCGTGAACGCTCGCCCAGCTCACCACTGCCCCCGCTGCCTGAGGATGAGGAGGTGGGATGGGGGGCAGGGCAGTGGGTAGATGGTCACAAGGTACCCTCCCCCGAGGCAGCAGGTCTCCGTCCCTGAAATGACTCCTGGCTCTGGGGAGGCACACAAATATGAACCCATAGGCTGGGGTATGGATGGAACTCCCTGGAGCAGACATGGCTACCTGGTCTGGGAGGGAGTGGGGATAGAGTTCCCCTGGGCAGATAGATGAGACCTCCAAAATCAGGGGTCCCCAAAAGCTGGGGGCTGGACAGAGGTCCTTAATGTAAACAGGTGTAGCCACCTGGCCTAGGGGAGCAGATGAGGACCCCTTGGGCTGCGCAGGGGTAGATGGGGGTCCCTGGGTTGGACAGGAGATGACAGGGATCCCTAGGGCAGGCAGACCGGACCCCAAGCTGTGTAAGGTCCCCACCCTTCAGACATGACTCCTAAGTACAAGTCCTTGGTGAGTCCCTCATTTCTATTGTCACTGGGAGAAGCAGGAAGGGTGAAATGTGTACCCCTGGCCGCCTTCTCTGACTCTCTCGGGCCTGGTATTGGGGCCCTTGTGTCCCCAGGGTCCAGAGGTCACTAACAGCAAGAGTCGGGATGTGTACAAGCTGCCTCCGCCTACAGCCCCTGGGCCACCTGGAGACGCCTGCAGATCCCGAATTCCATCCCCACTGCAGCCTGAGACCCAGGGTACCACCGATGATGAGGTGGGTATACAAGGCTGGCCCGGGGCCATGGGGTGTATTGTGGCACTTGGACACGGCCACCCAGCCTGACCTCTCTGTCCATGCAGCCCTCCGAGCCGGAGCCCTCACCCTCCACACTCATCTACCGCAACATGCAGCGCTGGAAACGCATCCGCCAGAGGTGAGCATCCGCCAGCCTGCTTGCCCCCATGTGGCCTCTGCCCCGACTGCTGAGTCCTCCCTCTACCTCCCCACCCCTACTGCAGGTGGAAGGAGGCATCTCATCGGAACCAGCTTCGTTACTCAGAAAGCATGAAGATCCTACGGGAGATGTACGAGCGACAGTGATGTTCCCCTGTCCCCCCAACCCCAATAAACATTCTCCTCCTCCCTCCTGGCCTCTGTGGCTGCAGCCCATCCTTCCTGGTCCAGACATAAAGCAGCTGGCACAGCTCTAGCACGTTTATTGGGGGAGTGGGCTTAGAGAGGAGTGAGGAGATGGGGCAGCAGGGAATTCAAGGAGGGAGAAAGATTGTGGGGAATCAAAGGGCTACTTGGTTGGGTCTTGGAGAATAAGGGGAGGGGTGTGGAAGGTAGATTGCGTGGGATATGTGGTTGGAGACTTGGGGATCAAGACAAAGTGACTAGGGGGTTATGGTTAGAGTCAAGGATGAGGGCCTAGGATATCTGTGCAGAGTCTGGGGAGATGCAGTAGGTATCTGTACAGGTTGAGCTTGAGGGTCCTCGTTGGCCTAGAATAGGTGTCCGAGAGTGGAGGTCAGAAAAGGAGTTCAGGGGTCTGGGGGTGGCTGGCTGGGGTTTCAAGTCAGAAGATGGGTTGGAGGGCTCAGGTCGGGAGAATGGAGTGTCTGGTTGGAATGAGGGGAAGGATCCAGAGCCTTGGGGGCCAGGCTTGGATGGTCTGGGGTCCAAGGTCTGTGCAGAGTCTGGGACATTTGGGCGGGGGCGGGGGCCAGTTATGCTTGACTGGCCTACGGTGGGGCAGGGCTGTCCACTGTAATCTGGTGTCACAGAGGGGAGGGGATTGAAATGGGGCGTGGAGGTGTTTTCCTGGAGGAATCAGAAGGAAATCAAGGAGGGAGTTTTGAGTGGGGTTATATGCCAAGAAAGTAGGATCAGTGAGGATGGGGGACTGCAGGCTGAGGGGTTGTGCTTGTAGGGTCTGCAAGCTAGGGAGGTTTGGGGGGTTTGAAAGCTGGAGGGGTTGTGAGTGCGGGAGTGTCAGTGGAAGGTCTAGGTTATCAGGACTAAGTTTAGGTTGGAAGGGTCAGGGTGGGATCCCAGATTGGGTGGGCGAGTGGTCTTGGCGCGCTCAGGACATCTGGCTGGGCGGAGTCAGGTCGGCTTTAAAAGGGGGCCTGAGGCAGCTCCCGGGGTTCAGGTGTGCCCACACCCCTACTTGGTAGCAGCCGGCGGCGACGGGAGCGGGGCCTGGGCCGGCGCGGGTGCAGCCTGGATAGACAGGACACCCTCAGGGGACAACGCGGACGTCACGGCGGCAGGATCCACGCCAGGCGGCAAGCGGTAGCGACGGTGGAACTCGCGCGCGATGTAGCCGTGCTCGTCCTGCGGGAGGAGAGGCTTGAGCGGCCCCGCCCCTTCCCTATAGAGGCCCCGCCCTCCGGCCTGTGGCCCCGCCCTCGCCCCCCGGACTCACTGGGCGCTCCTCGTGGCGCGCATGCACCTCCACGTGTTCGCCAACCACCTTGACGGAGATTTCCTCTGGTGAGAAGTGCTTCACGTCCAGCAGCACAGAGAAATGCCCGGGGTCGGTCGACACCTGCGCACAGACGGATTGTCATGGGGGCGGGGCGGGCTCCCGGGACCCAGCAAGGCCCCTCCCGCGTCGGGGCCCGGTCGGTCCCGTTGCTGCAGCTGACCCTGGCCTCCGGAACTGGGGAGTTCCCTTTCCTACTCTTAGCCGCTGAGGAGCTCTTCCCCCACTGAGATCACCCCTCCCCGTGTGATCACTGGGATTCCTCTCTCACCCAGAGTGATGAGGCCCCTTTCCCCTGCAAAGTCAGGGACCAACGCCCTCACAGGGTGAGGCCTGCCCCCCTCCCCCAGTGTCAACGACCCCACCGTCAGCGTGTCCGCTTGGATACTGACTCCCCAGCTCCCTTCCTCTCAGAGCCCCCAGGGCCCTTACTGCCTCCCCACCCCCAGCCAGAAATCGCCAAGATGCCTCTTCCCCCCCGGTCTCCAGAGTCTTCTTTCTACCCTCCCACTAGAGTCACGGGACCGCTTGCCTTTCAGCTGTTACTAATACTCCTCCTCCGCTTCTCAGAGTGGCCAGGCCCCTCTTTCTCAAGTCACAGGACCCTTCCTCCCCTCTGCCTCTCCAGGAGACAAAGTCACCACATACAGTCTCCAAACTCTCTTCCCCAAGGTTAACAAAAACATTCCCTCCCCTCGGGAGTCACTGGGAGCCCCACGCCCTTCAGAATGACTGGGCTCCCCCTTTTCCCGAGATTCCCTGGGTCCCCAGCCTCCTCCAGAGTTACCCTCTCAGAGTACCGCCCCGCCCCATCAGTGACCCAGCCCTTCCACTCCCCTGAGAGCTGAGACCCTCTCCAGCTCGACATGGACTTCCCACCCCCTTCAGTAATCCGGCCTCTGAGATTCCATACTCTGGGAACTCCGGAAGCCCCGCGGAGTGACCGGACTCTGCCCCCGCTCAAAGTCAAGGGACACGCCCTCACTCCCTCAGGGTGACCAGGACCCCGAGCCTTGGAAGTGGTCCGGTGCCCGCCCCTCCCTCAGGCCTGGCACCTGGGCGGTCGGCAGCGCCACGCTGGGGGCGCGCAGGTAGTAGGGGGCCAGCGCGGCAGGGCAGAGCGCAGCCAGCTCGGCCTCCAGCAGCCCCTCGCCGAAGCGCTGGTCGAAGATGCGCCCGGGCAGCGGGGCCGAGGCGCGGCGCAGCCACGACGGCTGCACAGGCACAGGGATCTCCATCCTGCTCCGCCGCCGCCGCCGCCCTGGGACCCGCAGTGCCTCTGCGTGCGCCGCCGCCTCGGATTTATAGCACGCCCTGTGTCCGCCCCTCGGCGGGCCGCCCGGGGACACTGGGAAGGTGGCCAGACTCGGCCATTAATAGAGCCTTATTTAGAAAGCCCAACAATGACTTAGCCATTTATTAAGCGCCTGCTGGATGCCAAAGAGGTTTCATTAAGATTCCCCAATTTCCCGAAAGGGAAACTAAGGCTGAGCCTTGCCGGAGTGGGGAGCACAGCGTGGCGTTTGGGATCCAAGTCCTGAGAAGCCCACCGCGGAGTTCCCAGTCCCTTTAATCCACCCCCGCCCCGCAGGCAGCTCTGGGGATGACGCAGATGGCCGTCTTAGGAGCTGATTCCCCGGTACAGGGAATGCTGTAAGTGGGCCAGGCTGTCAAGAGGACACAGAACAGACCCTACTCCCATCTCACCCGGGCCTTGGGCCCAGCCCCGCGGCAGGCCGGGCCTAAATCTGTGTCTCTGACTCAGCCTTGGGTACGCAGGGTAGCACGGTCTGCCAGGTGAGCAGCGGCCAGGGGGCACGGGCACGAACAGTCCAGGCTGGCCCCCCGGGGGCCGCGCGCCGGGGCCCGAAATAGCTCATTTTGATCCCACCACCTCGGCCAAGAGCCCAGGCCTGGCACTTGGCGCAACCAGCTGCTCCTGCAGCAAGACGGAAGTGCTTAGATGACCCAGCGGGACCCGTTGGCCGGTCCGAGTGATGGAGGGACGGCGGTTAGAGAGCGGACAGACTCCCTGATTGCCCACTGCAACGAGAAAAACCGTCGTTAGACTGGAGTCTGGCTGAGATTTCTGCAGCAAAAGGGGGAGTGGTTAGAAGACACGACAGCAAGAAGTGTATTTTAGAACCCCTCCCAACGTCGAGCCCGGCCTCAGATCCTTCCCATTGGTCCACAGGCTTGTCAATTACTGCTGTACGCTACAGTTCTCCAATCAAACACGCTCTTTCAGTCAGGCCGACGTTACAGCGAGTTGTGAGGCATCTCCGTTTGGCCACTTTTCAATTCCTTTTATTTTCCTCTCTATCATTGGTAGCCTCGGAGGCCGCTCTCTTCCCGCGCCGGCACTCCCAGAGAGGGCGGGGCCGACAGGACATTGCTAAGCGACAAAGATGCGCGCGGGGTCAGTCGGCTGAAGGAGAGAAGCAGGCGGAAGCGCCGAGGTAGCCGCAGGATGGACCGCGGGTAAGGCCGATCCCTCTTCTGGGGAACACAGGAGGCCTGGGGAGCACCGAGGGTCAGAACAACACAGCCTAGGGTCAAGTTTGCTAGGGTCCAGAGTCTCGTTCTCAACCGCACCGGAACTACAACTCCCAAGATGCTCCACAGCTTTTGGCTGCTCCAGCCTTAGACTTCACCATCCTGGGGGGCCCATAGCGTCCTACATTCCGCTAAGTGGCCGCAGGGGACTTTTCTCCTCCAAGAGTGTCCAGGGGCATCTTGGGAATTAAGTTTCTTAATTTTGAAATTGCCCCCAGACTCATGGGTGTTGTTTTTTACCTTTCTGGCTTAGGCGGAGCCCAGTGACTGATGGGGACTGCAGTCCTTCCTCCCCTTTTCTCCCTAGAGAGTGTCCCAAGGACTTATGGGAAATGCCCGGTAATAGGAGTTAGCCTTGGTTCTTAACCCGAGGTCCACTTCAAAAATCACGTGAAACGCTGCGAAAAAGACACAGATGCCTAGCTCCCCTTCTAGATATTCCGATTCTTTTGGTCTGGGGTAAGGACTGCGCCTCTGTATTTTGAAGACTCCTCCCAGACTGTATCGAGGGTGGAGCAGTTCCTGGGTTCCGATTCGAGAGTGCTCCAAGGGCTGGTGGGAATCATGCCTCCAATATCATCAGCTTGAATGTGCAGCAGTGCTTCATGGGATTTATAGTCCATTTCTCCCAGGAATCCATGGGACCTGCAGTCTGGTTCTGCCTTCCTCTTCCTATCCTCCCCACCCTGACTCCACCCTCGCCCCCCACGCCTGCAGTGACCATGCTCTGCCTGCCAAACCCACTCTCCCCTTGCAGCCTGCCAGTTTTCTCCATCCAAGACAGCCCGTTTGGGGACACTCCCCTGGGTTGAAGCCACTACTGGCCTTCCCAAAGCCAGACCTGGCACCTCAAGGTGAGGACACCCCACAGAAAGTGCTGTGTGCCAGTCCAGTAGCAAAGGAGTGACAACTAGAGGGAAGGAAGACGTGATGATGGGGGTGAGAGATTAAGACAGTCCCCCCTCTCCTCCTCACAGCCCTGCCCTCATCCAGGCCTCTCCCACCTCGACCCACCATCACAGCTCCAGTCACTCCAAGCCTGTAACCCTTGTGAGATGTGTTTCCTCCCCTCCGACTGAGACTACACCTGTGTCTTCAGTCCCCTACAGGGATGACCTCAGGCCTCACTTTTTCTTCTCCGCACTTCCCCTATCTTAGACCCGGAGCCCATCCAGGACCCAGAGATCCAGGCTCCCAGAAGCTCCCAAAACTCTGGCCACAGGTCCCAACTCTCCTGAGCTGTTTGAGGAGTTCTGGCCATCCAGCTCAGGGACCCCTTCCCCACCCAGCAGCACTGAGGGACAAATTGGAGCCTCCCCACCATGCACCCTGACTGAGAGTGGGGACTCCGTGGTGGCCAAGTAAGTACCCACAGCCCTGGGAGGAAAGAAGGGTTTGGGGCAGGGGCAGGGATCCCATAATCACCATCACAACCACAGGTGTTTATGCAGCACTTTTAGGACCATACCTCATGTGTGTTATGAAGAGCTCTGGAGCTAGGCTGCCTGGGTTCAAATCCCAGCTCTGTCACTTACTTCCTGTATGATCTCGGCCTCAGTTTCTTCATCTGTAAATTGGGGATATTAATAACACATATCCCCTAGGGCTGTTTCAGCTTTCAATGAGTTATTGTCTGTAAAGCCTCTGTAACAATGCCTGTCACATAGCGAGCACTTGGATTTGCAGGATACAAGCTCAGCTGCTGTAACAGAGTCTCTAATTGAGGCTTAAACAGGTAGCATTTATTTCTCCCTCATCTAACAGTCCGGGCAGAAGCAGCCAGGGCTGACAGGGCAGCCACTAGTTGAGGCGTCAGAGACACCTTCCTTCCGTCTTGTTGCTCTCCCATCCCGTGGCTCTGTGGCCCTTTCCTTCATGGACCAAAATGGCTCCCAACCGCATCTACTTTCTAGAATCACGCATCCTCATATGTGTTGGTCAAGAACCTAGTTACATGGCCATAAAGCTACAGGGACACCTGGTAAATGTATCTATAGAAAAGTGGCTATGTGCCCAGTATTATTATTATATAGTCTCATATAATATTGTATTACTATATAAGAAAGGAGAATAGATATTGAGGGACAACTACCAGGCACTGCCTGGGGCTCCATAAACATTGGCTATTGTAACTATTATTATTGTTGTTATTTGGCTCCCCTCACCTGACCCACCTCCCATTCTCTGATGCTCACAGGTACATACACCGGTTCCGTCAGGCTCAGCCCACGAGCCGGGAGGAACGAGAGACTGCAGGCCCAGCCCCAGCTGACTTTTGGTGGCTGCGGCCTGAATCTCCAGACCCCAGCAGTCAGCTTGCAACAGGTACCTGCTTCAGCCCCATCCACTCCAGACTTAAAACCTTTCCTGATCAATGCCCCCAGCAGCCACTCCTCTTGGTCCCCATGATCAGTTGGGACTTCTCAGCAGGAGCCAGTGAACCAGAAGGAAGACTCAACACAGCAGTCCCAACTCTTGCCAAGATGGCCAGCGCATCAGAGGCTAAGGCTATGGCCCCCCTTGAGGAAATAAAGCAGGTGACATCCCCATCCACTCCTTCCCCTAGGTGCCTGAACTGACAGCACCAGCCCTGGGATGGAACTAGAGTCAATCCCCAATTCAAGGAAGATTAAACAAAGAAAGGAGGATTTGTTGGCTAATACAATCAAGAAATCCAAAAGTAGATGCTTTCAGGCATGGCTGGATCCAGATGTTTGAACAGTATGGGGAGGAACTCGACTCTCTTGGCTCTCTGTTCTTTGTTGGGCTCAATCTCAGGCAGGCTTTCCCCTCAGAGTAGCCAAGATGGCCCAGTAACTCTAGGCTTCCAACTTACTGACTTACTCCAGTGGAAAGAGAAGGCCTTCCCAATAGCTCCCTCTAGAGCCCCAGGGCTTCCTCTCATTCGCTCATCTTTGGATCAATCACCGTGAACCAGAGGACAGAATGTTGTGATTAGCCAGGCCTGGTCAGGAAGGTGGGGTCTGCCCTCTTCCCACAGCAGTGACTGCACTGAGGGGTGCGGATCCACAGAGGAAAACTGGGTCTCTCTTCCCGAGGAGGAGGCAGAGCAGATTCTAAGCCAGCATGTGGGGGTACCAGGTGGAGTTCAGGCCTGCACTCCAGGCCCTCTGTCCAGATGCCTTTCCCAGCAGCCTTCGGGAGAGGGCTGGCCTCTGACCCTCTCACCCCACAGAGCCTTAACACATGGAACTCATCCCTGCTGGACCTGGAGACGCTGAGCCTGCAAAGCAGAGCTGCCAGGCTGCTCCAGCGCAGGTGCCTCCCCTGCCCCCCAGCCTCCCCACTCCTGCAGCTCCAGGCCCCGCCCACCGCCTGAGACCCCTGTGGTCTCACATCTGCCTTCTCCCTACAGCAAGGCCTCTGTCTCCTCCTCCTCCTCCTCCTCCGTCAGCCCCAGTGATGCCAGCAGCTCCTCACTCCCCGTCAGCTCTGATGGCCTCTCGCCCTTCTCCATGGCCTTCATCCCTGACTCCAGCAAGGGCTCTGACCCCAGGGCACATGGTAAGTTCTGGGAGGCAAGGATCGAGGACAGTTGGTGCAAATCCCAGCTCCGCCACTTACCAGCTGTGTGACCTTGGGCCTCTCTGGACCTGGCTTCCCCAACTTTAAAACAGGGGTAATAATTGTCCTCCTCTGCTCTGGTGTGGTGAGGATGCAGTGAGTTGGTGCATGCACGGAGCACTTAGCACAGCTCTGTTACCGTAGCTAATCATTAGTGTGACACGTTCTCTCTCTGCATCCTGTCTGCAGTTCTGAACACAAAACTCCACAATCAGAAGGTTTTTTGCAGATTTGGCACCATACCTGATTGATGGCAAAATCTGACCTAAACAGTATGAAGGATATTTATAATCTCTCTCTCTCTATATATCTCATTTAGGGTGAATATTCATACGTTTTGCTATGGATATTTTACGTTGAACCATATGAAATTTTTGTCCTGTAAGTAAAAAATGGCAGACTATTGGCAATTTCATATTGTTCAACCAAATACCAATGCTTTTGAGTCTGGTGTGGTGCCCCAGACCCCTGTCTGTGTTCTACATACCATGCCACTTTGCTAAAATACGCAAACTGTTGAACTCTCAAATTTCTGCCCCCAAGATTTCATAGATGGGGTTAAGGACTTAGGTTACTGTACCTGCCATCGTTGGTGTTACTGCTACTCTGTGCTCAGGTCCTGGGACACAGCAGTGAACAGGCTGATGCTCTCCCTGACTCCCGGGGCTCCCGTGCATGGGGACAGGGGAGTACAAGGAACAGAGACGCGTTTGTGTGATCTGGCCCAAGCACTCGCCTGTCTGGTTCTTCCCTCCTTCTAAGCTTCACCTTTTATTCATCTCTCCTTCCTGATGCTCAGTTTTCTCATCTGTAAAGTGAGGATAAAACTAGTACCTACTTCATGAATTGTTTTGAATGAATGAATACATTTATTTATTCATTCATCTAACAAGCATTGAATCCCTACTGTGTTTGAGGCACTGGGAGCAGGATTAGGGACTCCACAGGGAACCAAGCATACATGGTCCCACTGTCAGGGTTCTCACAGCAGAGTGAGTGTGGGGCAGACACTAGCTATATAATCTCACAAAGGTGAAATGTAAGCAGCAATGCGGGCCAGGCAGGAGAGGATTGTGATGCTGGGAAGTCAGAGAAGGCCTTCCCAGAAGAGGTGCTATCTAAGTGGAGACCTGAAGGATGGAGACGGGGACAAGAGCCCTCTAGCATGTACAGGAGGACTGAGATGGGAGGCAGCATGGTGCAGACAAGGGACTAGAAAAGGTGAGAGCGGGGGGTGAGAGTGGTGTGGGATAAGGTGGGGGAGACTGGCAGGAGTCAGATTACACTGGCTACGTAGGCATGGTGAGGCATGTGGTCCTTATCTTAGTACTGGGGAGCCACAGGACGTTCTGAGCAGGGAGGGGACATGAGCTTTCTTGGGTGTTAATAGACTCCCTCTGGCTGCTGTCACACCCAGTGAGAGATGCTGGTAGTTTGACTTGGGCCAGAGCCTGAGGAGCGGAGCAGAAGGAAGTGGCCAGGTTTGGAAGTAGAATCACAGATGTAGAGGGATGGGGAGGAGACAGAGGTCTGAGATGATGCCCCCCTTCGCTGTACGGCATCAGATGGGGGGCTTCTGAAAGAGAATCGTAGCCCTCCTGATCAGCACTGATGAAAGGTGCTCTGGGTGATGGGAATGGTGTCTTTTTGCCCAACTGGACTGACGACAGCCAGTGGCCTTGCCCTTAGTCCCTGCTGGATCCCCAGCACAGGGCGGGGCACTGGCATGGAGCACAGTAAACAGTTCATTTTGCATTTATGCCACAAATACTGCCGTCAGGCCCTGTTCTTGACACTGGGGTATGCTAATGGCCAAACAGATAAAAAACGCTGCCCTTGTGTGGCTGGCATTGTGGAGGGAGAGATGAGCAATGAATAAAGTACAATATTTAGTATGTTAGAAGTTGATAGCGCTAAGGAGGAAAATGGCAGAGGAAAGAGGAGAGGGAGGGGCAGGGCTGGGGGCTGTTGCGGTTTTGAATGGGGTAGCCAGGGAAGGCCTCACTAGAGGTGATATGTGGGCAAAGATCTGAAGGATCTGAGGGAGTGAACCCTGGGGATACATGAGGGAAGAGCATTCCAAGCAGAGGGAACCACAAGTGCAAAGGCTTCTGCTTTTTCTCAGGAAAGAGGTGCAGCCTGCAGAGGACTCTAACCCAGGAGGCCCCTATCTGACTCTGTCTTCCCATGCTCCCTCAGCTGCAGGCGGGGCACAGACTGAGAGCACAGGCAGTAGGGAGCCAGGGAGGAGGCTGCTGTGGGGTTGGACCTGGCAAGGGCAGCAAAGGGGGGAGAAGTGGGCAGATTCTGGAGGACCCGTCCTATGCACTGCTGTAACCACAGTGTCCAGAGCGCGATAAATATCTGTGGATGCTGAAGAACTGAATGATGGCAGGTTGAGAAGCCCTGAGTGCTCTCTCCTCTCCCTCTGACCTTTCCCCGGTTTCCCACTCCAGAGAGGAGTTGGACTTTATCTGGAGAGCCTGTCCGAATAACCTTCTGGCACCCTCGAAGGGCGTGTGTGTAGGCTGCTGGGTTGCTCATCACCCCGGCCCCTGCCCTTACTGCCCTTCCCTCTGCTTACCCCACAGCAACTCCAGCACCTATCCCTGCTCCAGCCCCAGTCTCCTCCCAGGCACCCCTGCGGCCAGAGGATGACATTCTGTACCAGTGGCGGCAGCAGCGGAAGCTTGAACAGGCTCGAAGAGGTCAGGGTGACGGAACCTGGGTGCTGCCCCGGACCCCTGCCCTCACTACTCCGGTGAGATGGGGAAGGGAGGAGCCTGAGGGGGCTGGAGGGGGAAGCCTAAGGGAAACTGGGGGAAGAGGAGCCTGAGGGGGACTGAGGACCGTCTAACCTTTCTCTCCCTCTCAGGTCCCTGTCCCCATCAGCCTACAGACCTCTCCTGCCCCTGCAGAGACCCCTGGTTCCCTGGGAACCCAGCCTCACTGCGTCCCACTTTGGGGCAATGTTGCCCGGCCTGGTCCCCCGGAGGCCTTCTATTTAGAAAGGCCTCCTATTCCCCCAGGGTTCTCTCCACACATCTTTTGGGGCCCCAGCCCCCCTGGGTTCTTCTGGGCCCCGCAGTCCGGTCCCTGGGTATCTCTTGGGGCCATTCCCCCTACGCCTCCCGCCTCCACCCCGGCGCCCCAGGTCTCCACCCTCGCGCCTCCCGCCTCCACCCCCGGACCCCCCTCCTCCAGCCCCGCGACCCCGGTCTCCACCCTCGCGCCTCCCGCCTCCACCCCCGCGCCCCCAGCCGCCCCCCAGGGCCCGCCCATCCCTGTGCTAAGCAGCCCCGCCCAGCCCGAGAGGCAGGGCCCCAAGCCTCGGAGAAGCAGAGCCCCGCGCCGGGACACTGCTGGCCGAGACACGGCCGGGGACGAGGGGCCCGGCCCGCAGCTCAGAGGCGCCCTGGGCCAGGTGGTAACTGCTCGGCTGTTTCCGGACGGCCTGGAGGACACGCCCCCTCACCTCGAGAGCCCGCCTCCACGCGAGACGCCGTCTGCGAAAGTCAAGGCCACACACCCCCAGACCAAGGTTTCGCCCCCTCCCTCGGAGGTCCCGCCCCCTCCGTCTGAACCACGGTTTCTGCAGGCAGAGACCCCGCCGGGTCAGTATAAGGCCAAGTCTCGGAATACCAAGGCCACGCCGCCCCCAGTGGGGTCGGTGCTTTGCAAGGACAAACACAGTCCCTCGGCTGAAGCCGGGCGTCTGCAGCCCAGAGTCCCGCCCCCTCCGGCTGAGGAGCTGTCCTCGTGCGCCAGGGCCCCGCCCCCTTCGTTCAAGGCGGGGTCTCTCGAGGCTGTGGCCACGCCCTCCTCCTCTGCTGACCACGCCCCCTCAGAGGACCTGCTCTCGCAGGCCGCCAGACTTCTGGAGGCTGCCGAAGGTGAGCGGATGTGCCTGGCTGCCCGGATTTAGATGGCAGCCCAGCACCCTACGAGTCCGGCTCCCTGGAATTCGTTGTTTTGCCCCCAGACTCCGACGGCAGCGAGTTCCAGGACGACCCTGTACTGCAGGTGCTAAGGGTTCAGAGGGCAGAGCTGCAGCGGCAGAAAAGGTGACCGTGACCAGGATCTATGACTCTGGGCCTCTGAATCCTCAGAGAACCCCTATTGAGTGCCCCCCTCTCCTGAGCCCCTTTCCTGGAAATGCCCACGGCCCCAGACCCCAGCCCTGAGCACATACCTCAGCCTCTACTACCCCGGCTTTTTTCCAGGAAAGTGGAAGCCCAATTATCCCGCCTGCTGGACCACACTGAAGACCCAGGGTCTTGATCTCCTCCAGCCAGATGGCCCCCAGGTCCCCAAGGACTCAGCTGCCCAGGGAAGGAGCCTCTTTTGAGGCCGGACAACTTTGAATTGTACAAAGTCTCTTTTTCCCAATAAAAAATTTTATTTTTCATGGGACCAGCCCAGTGGTGTAATCGTTAAGTTTGTGCACTCCAATCGGGCAGCCCAGGGTTCGGGGGTTTGGATCCTGAGCATAGACCTACACACTGCTGTCAAGCCATGCTGTGGCCGTGTCCCACCATACAAAAGGAGGAAGATTGGCACAGATGTTGGCTCAGGGCCAATCTTCCTCACCAAAAAAAAGTTTTCAGATGACTAATTGTCTCTGAGAAAGGGCTTGTTCTGGAAAGGCCAAGGGTCGTGCTAATTTAGGAAATGACTCCACCCTCCCTTACACCCGCACCCCCCCCCCCCCCCAGTCCCTCACCATTGACACAAAATCTTTTGGTTTCATCCTCTTTGAGGGCAGGGGAGGGATTCCAGGTAAGACTGGGACTCACCTTATCTGACTCTCAACTCACGAGTGGATTGTCCTATCTCAGATGAGACCAAAGGGACTGTCCTCTGGGCATGAAGCTAATGGGGACTTCAGAGTGTTGGACAATGTCCAGTCCTCAATCCGCATCCTGCGGAGCCAGCAGCAGCATTTGGTGTGCCGATCCCTCCCTCCTTGAAGCACCTCCTTCCTCTGCTTCCAGCACCCTACCCCTCTCCCATCCCTGGTCGTGCCTCCTCATTGCCCCAACCTGTGACTGGCATGTCCAGGGCCCTGGCCTTGACTTCTCTATACTCATTCCCAGATGCTCTCGTCTGGCTTCGTGGCTCTAAGTCCCATCTCTATTCTGATAGTCCCCAAATTTCTATCTTCAGCCTAGACCTGGCCACTGAACCTCAGGCTCCTATATCCTGCTACATGCTCACCCTCCCCACTCAAAGGTCTCAGAGATGCCTCAAACTCCACAGGTCTTAAACTGGCCTCCCAGTCTTCCCCCATAAACCTGTTCCTCCCTAGCTTTCCTCAGCTCCATCTGAGCTGCTTGAGCCCAAGCCTCATCATCATCCTTCACACCTCTCTTTCCATCACACCCACAGTCAATTAACCAGCAAGCCCTGTCATCTCTTCCTTGAAGATCTATCCAGAATTTAACCCCTTTTCCCTCTTCCACTGCCCTTACCCCAGTCTAGGCTATCATCATGGTCTGGACTATTGGAAAACCTATTGTTTTGTCTGCAAATTCTTTGACACACTTCTTGTCAAAAAGTAGAGTCTATGTCCCTTCTCATTGAAACCGGGTAGAACTTTGTGACTGCCCCAACAAATAGAATGCAGAGGAAATGGTACTGCTTTAATGTTCTAAACTGGATTAAAAATGATGATACGATTTCCACCTGTTTTTTTCCTCTCTCTCTCTTTCTCTCTCTAACGCTTGCTTTGGAGCCCTGAGCTGCCATATAAAAAGTCCTGTTGCCAGCCTGGGTAGGAGTTTGGGTTACAGAGGTGCATGCACTTATCAAAACTCAGTGAAATTTGTGAATTTTATTTAACGTACAGTTTACCTCAAAAGAAAAATAAACTTTGAGCGCTAGTTAAAGATATGCATGCTGAAGTATTTAAGGGGTGGTATATCAATGTCTCTAATTTATTTTGAAATACATCCCAAAATTAATTAGATTAATGGATGAATAGAGTAATAGGTAGATGGGAGATAAAGCAAATAATGGTAGAATCTAAGTGGTGGGTATATGGGAGTCCACTGTAAAATTTTTCAAATTAGGTGTATGTTAGAAACTTTTCATAACAAAATGTTGGAGAATATATGATTAGGATTGTTTTGATATCTGTATTTATTTAAAAAGGGAGGATAGGATAGATTTCTGTTAGAAGTACTTCTGTATGTCACAGACACGGTAAATATTTGTTTAGACCCATTTTGAAAAAACCATACATTTAAATGAAATCAACAAGAAGGAAATAGCTGTTTAGATATAAGGAGAAATAAAAGATGTTTAGTAGTGGAACTGATCTAATTGGGGGTGGTGGGTGGGAGTGAGTGGGACCTAGAAGGATTCCTGAGGAAGTTACATTTCAGCTGAGACAGATAGGAATTAACTAGTTGAAAAGGGCCATCCTAATTACCATTGCTGAGTTACAAGTCACCCCCAAAACTTAGCGGCATAAAACAATCATTTTATTATGCTCATGGATTCTCTGAGTCAGAAACTTGGACAGGGCACAACTGGGGACATTTTGTGTCTGTCCATGAAGTCTAGGGGTTCCACTGGGAAGACAAAGGAACCTCCACAGCTCGGGGTGGAATCTCTGGAGCTTCATCATGCACCAATCTGGTACCAGGGCTCCGATGATCCCAAGGCTGGGCTCAGCTGGAACCATGGACTGTGGTGCCTACACATGGCCTCTCCGTGTGGCTTGGGCTTCCTCAAAGGGTAGCTCCTTCAGCACAGTCACAATGCTCACATGATGCCTCAAGGCTCTAGAGCTAGTCATCCTAGTGGACAAGGAAGAAGCTGCATTGCCGCTAACCACTAGCCCTGGAAATCACATAGCGCAATCCCACTATTCTCTGTTGGTTGAAGTTGTCACAATCCTGCCCAGATTCAAGGGGGAGGAGACATAGACTCCACATTTTCATGAGAAGAGTGTCAAAGAATTTGCAGTCATGTTTTAAAACCACCACAGAGGTTGACGGGTGGTGGGGAGGAATATTCCAGGTGGGGGGAACATCCTGTGGGAAATCCTGTGATGGGAATGAAGTCGGCAAGTTCAATGAATTGAAATAAGTAACTGTAAATTGACGCCTCCCCCAGCACTCCCTTTCTCTGATCACTGCTTAATTTTTATCCGGAGAACTTATCACCTTCTAATATTCTATATTTTTAAATATTTATTTTGTTCATTGTCTGTCGTTTCCCACTAGCTTTTGAGCTCCGTGTGGGCAGGGTATATTTTTCCGTGTTTTGTTTACTGACGTATTCACAAATTAAGTGATCAGAGTTTTTGAATGAATGAATGGACGGATCAAGGATGTACCTTCTGAGCTGAGGGTCTCGTTGAGGGCCTGACTAATGGGAGAGGCCTCTTTGAAAGGGCGTTGCTACAGAGTGTTTTCTGAGCCTGGCTCGGCCAATGGCTGGAACAATTGGGATTGGCTTTATGGGAGGCGTGGTCATGTTCTGGTATTGCCGGCTAAACATATTCCTAGGTAAGAGGAATCAAGGCTAGAGGCCGGCCTGTAATCAGCAGTAGAGGAGAAGGCAAGAATAACGTGCAGTGGGTAGGGCAAGGCCAAGTCGCAGAGTGCATAGGGTCATGTCCAGGCAGGGCACCTGAGCCAGGGAAACCGTCGAGAGGTGAATGCCCTCAGTATTCTGTGGGCGGGGTCAGGGTCAGGACTGCCAAGGTGGGGCTAGAGGATTGACTTTGAAAAGCTGCTTGGGGATGGAGAAAAGCCCTGAGGCCGTGGGAGAATCCAATTAAGTGTCAGAGGAGCGGTCACTGAGAGTGGACCAAGGGGAGGGCCCCTCGCCTCGTGTTAGAAGTGTTGGAGGCAAAGCATAAAGAACCTGGGGGCGTGTCTCAGGAGGGGAATGACAGCCAATGAAAAGCAGCCGTGGGCGTGGCGCTGTCAAACTTCGCAGGGCGGGACCGAAGACAGACCGAGGCAGCGAGGGGACCCAAGCCGAAGCCAATGAGAAGCCGCCAGGTGGGCGGGGCGTCGTCCTGAGGCCGAGGGTGGAGCCAATGAGAAGCGGCGCCGCGTCCTCGCTGCCCCCGCCCCGGTGGGGCGCGCGCCGGAGCCACGGGCGGCCGTTAGGGGCGGGGCCTGCGGCCGCCCGCGCGCGGCTCGCGCCCTCCCCTTTGTGTCGCCATGGCGGCGGCATCGGCGACGAGGACGACGAGCGAGGGGTCCCGCGCAGCCGGCGCCTGAGGAGGCTACGAGACCATGGTGGTGAGCAGCCCACGCGGCCGTCAGTCCGTCCGCGTGTCAGTCTGTCCGCACGCGGCCCCGCCCCGAGCGCCCCGCCCCCGGCCCCGCCCGAGCCCGCGGCCCGCGCCGCCCCTCACCCTCGTCGCGGTCCCTCTCGTCCCCCGGCCTGGTCTTGGGCCCGAGCCCTTACCCGGGCCCCGCCCCCTCAGCGCGCATCCCCTTCCACGCCCTAGATGGGGGTGACAGCGGCCGAAGACCGGGAGGAGGAGGGGCTGGTCCAGGGAGGGGCCTCGTATCCCCCGAGTGGCCCCCGCAGGCGCCTGTTGAAGCTCCGTGGTTCTTCACCAGCCCCCATCCCAGAGCCATCCTCAGAGTCTTCATCCCAACCTCCGCCCCTCCCTGGCCTAGCTCCTCTCCTCCTCCACCAGCCGCTTTCTGGTTCTTGAGCCCCACCCCCACTCCATCCTCAACCTGACCCTTTTCTTCTCCTTCTCGTCGTTCTCACCCCATCCCGGTCCCTCTCAACCATCCCCCCCTACCGCCATCAGCCTGAACCTTTACCTCAGCTTCTCCAGTACTCCACCCCAATCCCAAGCTGGCATTGTACCTCCAGCGTGATCCTTGAGTCCTCTCCATCTTCTTGTCCTCCTCCTCCCTCCCCCACTGTCTCCCTCGCCCACCATGCTGCTCCTGCTCATTCATCCATTCATTCCCTCCTCGTGGCTCACTTAACAGACATTCACTGAGACCTCTGTGCAGACCCCATGCTCCAGGCACAGAGAGCGTCAGATCCCATCCTGCCTTGGGGAGCTCATGGGCTGGAGGGGGACAGACCCGAGGACAAGACCCAAGGAGAAAGTCGGGATTACAGGGGTATGAAGGAGGGAGAAGCTAGAGCCTGGTCTAGGGAATCCCCATCTGGCAGCTGGTTAATTTATTCATTACATTCTACCGGGCCCCTGCTCTGCGACGGGGCTGGCACTGGGTATTGGGACCCAGAGAGGAATCAGGCAGAACCCTACTTGTAAGGAGCACCAATTCTGTGCCCAGCTCTGTGCTGGGCAATGCTGGGGGACTGGGGACTCAGCCCCAGTGCCCGATCCTGGAGAGGTCACAGTCTAATGGGAGAGATGGACTTGTCACCAGACAGTGACATCTCAGAGTGCTCAGAGCTGTGATGGGGGAAGCTCAGGCAGGGCCGTCAGGCCTGGGATGGGGGAACCTCAAGGGGTGGAAGAGTCCAGAAGAGGTACCTGATACAGCCTGAAGGGTCAGAGAGAACTTCCGAGAAGAGGGAACAAGAGAGCTGAAACCTGAGGAATGAGAGGATGGGGAAGAGTGTTTTGTGCAGAGGGTACAGCCTTTGCAGAGGCGTACAAGAAAAGGATAAGATGCTTTTGCTGGACTCTTAGAAGTTCAAGAGCTCTGAATGGAGGCTAAGGGGAGAGATGGGGCTGGAAAGGTAAACAGAGACCAGAGAATTCAGACTGCCTTGAAGACATCAGGGAGCCATTGCAGGTCCACCATCTATGGAGAGACAGGCAGATTTGTGTTGTGTGAAAATTATACTGGCTCTTGCTGTGAAGAAGCTGGCAGGAGGGAAGAGGTTGGAAGCAGGAAAACTGATAAGATGGTAGCTGTGATTGTCCAGATATCGATGGAAGGTGTGGAGAGGCACAGATGGGACATGACTGTACTCTGCAGGGGCTATGGGAGGATTTAAAACGGGGAGAGATGGCACCAGCCTGCTCTCTCCCTGCCTCACCCTCAGCCCCTGCTCTTCCAGCATCCCCACCCCCACCCCCCCACCCCCCCCCACCCCGCCTCAGACCACACACGAAGAAACAGGCCTATCCTCGGCTGGCTGTCACCTCCCCCTGACCTACTCTTCTACTCCATGCTCAGGGCAGTGTGTAGAGCAATTCGGCCTCCAGGCCCGGCTGGCAGATAACAATGCTCCCGTTGTCTCTCTGCTCCCATCTCTGGGGACTCTGATTCTTCTTTCTGCTCTACAGGCCCGCAGCACTGACAGCCTGGATGGCCCAGGAGAGGGCTCCGTGCAGCCCCTGCCCCCTACTGGCGGGCCCAGTGTGAAGGGGAAGCCTGGGAAGAGGTGAGAGGTGAGGGACAGGCTCAGCTTAGGAGGGGGCAAGTGCAGGAGCCGCCAGTGACGTGTCACCTGTTTCCCAGGCTCTCGGCTCCTCGAGGTCCCTTCCCCCGGCTGGCTGACTGTGCCCATTTCCACTATGAGAATGTTGACTTTGGCCACATTCAGGTATGGGGGCTTTGCACCCAGGTGGGAAGGTGAGATCCCACCCAACCCTGATGCAGTCTCAGCCACTTTACCCCGGAAACTTCCCTGGGACTGGCTGCTCCGCCCATCTGAGCAGTCAGTGGCCAGAGTTGCAGGGCGGAAGGAGAGAGCTGTCCATTCATTCATTTGTTCTTTAATTCATTCAGCAACAACTTCTTGTTAGGTGTCAGCTCTGTACCAGGACCCAGTACTCTGACTGAGACATCCCCAGGCCCCATCTTTGGGGAGCTCCAGGAGGGGGACACAGACCCATCCCGAGATAGTGCCAGTCTGGGGAAGTCAGGACTGAACCAAAGCGAAACCCTCTCCTGGGCCTCTGTTTCCTTCTGCAGCTCCTGCTGTCTCCAGAACGCGAAGGCCCCAACTTCTCTGGGGAGAATGAGCTGGTGTTTGGGGTACAGGTGACCTGTCAGGTGAGGCCACTCCTGCCCCTTATCTAGCCTGGCGGACTGGGCACCATGGTCCTCAGCTCTGTGTAACTGTGCCCTTCTGTCCCCCCCGCCACGCCCATAGGGCCGTTCCTGGCCAGTTCTCCGCAGCTATGATGACTTCCGCTCCCTGGACGCCCACCTCCACCGCTGCATATTTGACCGGAGGTTTTCCTGCCTGCCAGAGCTTCCCCCACCCCCGGAGGGTGCCAGGGCTGCCCAGGTAAACTGCTTCTTGTCCCAGCCCCTGCCTCAGCTGTGGCATGTCCTCATCAGCAATGCGGGAGACCATCGAGGCAGGGGGATAGATAAATATTTAAACACTGGTGTGGCCCAAGCCCCACCCAGTCAGAGGCCTGAGAAAGGCAGCAGGGTTCTTGAGGCTCCCTTGAGTTTTAGAATCCTGGAGAGTTCCAGAGGGTTCCATGGGAGGGTCAGCATGGCCTGGCCAATGGGGGCACACAGGAGCTTGGCCTAGCCTGTTTATCAACTGATATGATATTTCAGTATCTCCCCTGGAGGCATGGGTTAGGGCAGGCCCTGTGGCCCAGTGGTTAAGTTCGCACGCTCTGCTTCGGCAGCCCAGGGTTTCGCCGGTTCGAATCCTGGGCGCAGACATGGCACCGCTCCTCAAGCCATGCTGAGGTTGCACCCCATGTGCCACAACTAGAAGGACCCACAACTAAAAATACACGACTATGTACCAGGGGGCTTTGGGGGAAAAAGGAAAAATTTTTTTTAAATCTAAAGAAAAAAAAAATTTCAGTACTTAACTCGTGCATTCAGGCTGAATTTCAACCTTGCCCAGAGGCGAGCCAGGGCGGTGTAAGAGGACACTGGGCTCTCTCAGGGTCCCCTCACAAAAGCCCACCCTGACCACCCGCCCCTAGATGCTGGTGCCACTGCTGCTGCAGTACCTGGAGACCCTGTCGGGACTGGTGGACAGTAACCTCAACTGTGGGCCCGTGCTCACCTGGATGGAGGTGGGCCCGAGTCGGGGCTTGGAGTTGAGAGTGAGCCGGGGATGTCTGAGGAGTGAGAACCATTGCAAGAGTGTGTGTGGGCACAGGAAAGGAAGGAGCGGAGTGGAGGAGGCACTGCACTTCAGTGTCTGTGTGGGTGCAGGCCTGCGAGAGAGCGAGTGCGTGTGTGTTTCAGCGGGTGTTGGGCTGTGGGGTGCAAGGATCTCAAGGTATATTGATTAGAAATGGGTTTGGCTGTGAGTCGCAGAACGCCTGGCTAAGAGAGGCGCAACCCAGCAGGTTTTCTGACGGCAAGCGTGCAGTGTCTGCTGTGCAGGATGGGGGTGCAGGGGTGTCCTGGGACAGGACAGGAAGGAAGGGGCTTTGTTTTGGATGGGGCAAGAATTTAGGTGTTTGACCAATAGCTCTTAGGTGGGGGACAGATGGTGGCCTCCATTGGACATGGAGGAACTGTCTCTGTCTTTATCATTGCCTTCTTCTTCTTCCCTGCCACATCCTGCCTTCATCTCAGCTGGACAACCACGGCCGGCGACTGCTCCTCAGTGAGGAGGCCTCGCTCAACATCCCTGCCGTGGCTGCTGCCCACGTGGTCAAACGGTACACGGCCCAGGCACCAGACGAGCTGTCCTTCGAGGTGAGGCCGTGGGGGAGCGGATTCCAGCCTGGCTCCCCACTTCCCCTGCTCCTCTGACCCTCCCTCCTCTCACCTGCCCACTCCCAGGTGGGAGACATTGTCTCTGTGATCGACATGCCACCCACGGAAGATCGGAGCTGGTGGCGGGGCAAACGAGGCTTCCAGGTGAGCCTGGCTTGGGGTGGACAGGTGAGACTGGGAAACCAAGCCAGCTAGGGTGGCGCAGGCACTGACCCCGACTCCTCCTCAGGTCGGTTTCTTCCCCAGCGAGTGTGTGGAGCTGTTCACAGAGCGGCCGGGTCCGGGCCTGAAGGGGGGTAAGTGCCCTGGGCCAAGTGGGGAGGCCCCCCTGCATCCTGTGCCTGCTGTCTATCCTTTGCACCCACTGTTTGCCCCACAGATGCCGACGGTCCCCCGTGTGGTGTCCCTGCTCCCCAGGGTATCTCCTCTCTGACCTCAGGTAATGGAAATAAGGGCCAGGGCCCTGCCCCCCATCCCCCAGACCAGTGGCTGCACTGACCCTGTGCGGGCTGCCTTTACCCCCACAGCTGTGCCTCGGCCGCGTGGGAAGCTGGCTGGCCTCCTCCGCACCTTCATGCGCTCCCGGCCCTCCCGGCAGCGGCTGCGGCAGCGCGGCATCCTGCGGCAGAGGGTGTTCGGCTGCGACCTTGGAGAGCACCTCAGCAACTCAGGCCAGGATGGTGAGGCCCGGGCCGCCTGCCCAGCCCACCCGGCCACCAGGATGCAACCTGCCCAGCCCTGACCCCGCTGCTCTCTCCCAGTGCCCCAGGTGCTTCGCTGCTGCTCAGAGTTTATTGAGGCCCACGGGGTGGTGGATGGAATCTACCGGCTCTCGGGCGTGTCATCCAACATCCAGAGGCTGCGGTGAGGCCCTCCACCAACCGTCCTCTCCACACACATCTACTGAGCGTCGTCTCTATTCCAGGCCCTGGGCCGGGTGCTGGAGACAGTTTTCAGGAGTTCAGAGGGCATAGAGCGGGCTTGGACAAGGCTGGGGGCCGGGAGGGCTTCCTCGAGGAAGTGACACCCTAGCTGAGGCCTGAGAGGTGAGGGCAGAATGAGCACTGGAAGCAGAGGGATCAAACTTCATTGAGCACCTGGCACTTGCCCAGCACGAGGTCCTGGGGACCTAGTGGCTCTGGCGACACCCAGAGACTCCGGCCCTCATGGGGCTTACATGCAGGAGGGACAGACAAGGAAGTAGGAGAGTTACTAAGAGGTGACAAGGCCTCTGGAGATAGACTGGGGTAAGGAGGATGGTAATACTAAGTCAGAAAGCGCTGCAATTTTAAATAGGGAGCGCGGAGAAGGTTTTCTGGGGGAGAGCTCACTCTGGAGGATGTGAGGGAGCAAGCCATGGGGATATCCTGGGAAAAGCATCCACAGTGAAGGGAACAGCCAGCGCAAAGGGGAAAGCAGCAGGAGATGATGTCTACGCAGTGATTAGGGGCAGAGCATGCAGGGCCTTTTTGACGACTGCTAGGATTCTGGCTTTTACTCCGAGGAAAGGGGGAACCACAGGAGGGTTCTGAGCCGGGGAGAGACAGTGTGCACAAGGGTCTTAAGAGTGGGGAAGCAGTGAGGCCCGAGCATCATGGCTGACAGGGCCGTGCAGTGAGAATGGAGCCGAGGGGAGGGGGAGGGGAGCGAGAGGAGACACGAGGTTTCCCCAGGAGCAGTGGGACACCACCAACACCTGGGAGCAGGGGCTGCAGGGATTTCAGCCGCATTTTCTGGTGACCTCTTGTGCCAGGAAAATGGCACAACTTGGAAGGAGCATGGTCACCTTCTGGAGTCAGATAGCCTTGGGTAGCTACACGCAGTAGCGTCTCCCACCTGAGCCTCTGTGAAATAGGCCACCCTGATATTTGGTACACAGGGTTCTTGGGGGCTTCGGTAAGGTTCTGCCTCTGAAGAGCCCAGCACAGGAAGAGGGTTGCATCCATCTGCGGACGCTTTGGGGGTGGGGGAAGGACACGGCCAGGTGGGCCAGCTCTGACTGGAATCTTCCTCCTCCTTGGCCTGGTGGCCTCAGGCATGAGTTTGACAGTGAGAGGATCCCTGAACTGTCTGGCCCCGCCTTCCTGCAGGACATCCACAGCGTGTCCTCCCTCTGCAAGCTCTACTTCCGCGAGCTGCCGAACCCCTTGCTCACGTACCAGCTCTACGGGAAGTTCAGCGTGAGTAAGGGAGCTGGTGCGGCCGGAGGGTGCTGGGACGCCTCTGGCCCGGCCCCCATCATGCCTGTGCACGTTCTCAGGAAGCCATGTCGGTGCCTGGGGAGGAGGAGCGCCTGGTGCGCGTCCACGACGTCATCCAGCAGCTGCCCCCGCCACACTACAGGCAAGCCAGGAGCACAGGGAAGGACTGGGGTGGGCTCCTAAGGAGCTGAGCCTCAGTGTACCCCTCTGCTCCCACCTAGGACCCTGGAGTACCTGCTGAGGCACTTGGCCCGCATGGCGAGACACAGTGCCAACACCAGCATGCACGCCCGCAACCTGGCCATCGTCTGGGCACCCAACCTGCTACGGTAAACTGGCAACTCACCAGCCCACCCCTCAGCTCCCTCACATGGGCTGGGCCTCAAGTCTGCCCCAGTCCTACCCCCACCCCAGGAACCCATTTCATTCAACACATAAAATAAGTACCTCTCGTGTGCCAGCCTCTGTTCTCAGCACGAGGGACAGAGTAGTAAGCAGGATCCTGTGCTCCTGGGCTCACATTCTCAGGGAGGAGATGCACAGTGAATGATTAACAGGAAAAATACAGAGCGCTGGCTGATGGTGATAAGTGGTAAGGGAAAGATTACGAAGCAGGGAAGGGAGATGTACGGGATCATGGCATTGTGAAATCGTTAGATAGTGTGGCAGGGAAGGTGTCAGTAAGAAGTCTCCTATGGCCAGCAGCTGGGTAAGCCCCAGACGATTTGATGGTGAGCAAGACAGGCAGGCTCTCTGTCCTGGAGGGGTCCGGTTCTTCTGGGGAGACACATAAATAAATAAACAAAATAGATAGTATATCAGATGGTGAGTATAAGAACTGTGGGGAAAATAAAGGCAGACCTGAAGTACAGAAGTTTACAATTTTAAATCAGGTGGGTGGGGAAGACACTATCGAGAGGGTAACATTTGAGTCAATACTTGCAGAAGGTGGGGGAGGGACTCGTACAGATAGCTGAGGAGGAGCAGTGAAGCAGAGGGAACAGCAAGTGCAAAGGCCCAGGGGCCGAGTCAGCGCCTGGTGTACTGGAGGACCAGCAGGGAGGCCAGCGTGTCTGGAGCTGAGTGAGAGAGTGAGTGAGTGACAGCTTGGGGGGAGGAGATGATGAAGTCAGAGAGGTGACAGAGAGGAGTGACTTATGGGTTGTGGGTCGTGGTGAGGACTTCTCTTTTACCTGGTGTGAGTGCAGCCAGGGGAGGCTCTGACCCCGGAGGGCCCTGACCTGACTGAAGTTCACAGGCCGCTCCTGGCTGCTGTGGGGAGCAGACTGCAGGGGACAGGGATGGAGCAGGGAGACAGGGCGGGGGCTGCTGTGATGGTCCAGGAGGCAGAGGATGGAGGCCGGGCCAGGGTGGGGCAGTGGGGAGAAGAATTTAGATTCTGGATAGATGTTGTGTGTGGAGCCCACAGGGTTTGCTGAGAGACTGGATGTGCGTGTGAGGGAAAGAGAGGGGTCAAGGACGATCCGAGGTGTTTGACTGGAGCCACTAGAAGGACGGGCCTGACACTGACCAGGATAGGCAAGGCGGGGAGGGAGCGGGCTTGGGGAAAGGCTGAGAGGCCAGCTCTAGGTGTGGTCAGTTTGATAAGGTCAGAGGCGTTGAATGACAGTCATTGCTTCCACTAGCTCCCCACCTTGCCTAGCCAGAACCTGCCGGCTGGGGCTCAAGGCACCCGGCCTCCCTCCCCCTACCCCCATCCAGGTCCATGGAGCTGGAGTCAGTGGGGCTGGGTGGGGCAGCGGCCTTCCGGGAGGTGCGGGTGCAGTCAGTGGTGGTGGAATTCCTGCTCACCCATGTGGACGTCCTGTTTAGTGACACCTTCACCTCCGCTGGCCTTGATCCTGCAGGTACGCCCAGCCCACCCCTGGCTACTGCCCCCTCGTTGTCAGGGCTGCAGTGGGAGGGCAGGTGGGCTCCCAGCCCTATCCTTTCCCCACTGAAGCTGGACCTCCCTCCTGGCTCCTTGAGGACCCCGCCCCGGCCTCTCCCTCCCCTGCCCCCCCTTCTCATTTCAGCTCCTCCGCTCAGGATCCCCACTTCTTGGCCCGGACATCGGTCTTCCTTCACCCCTTGTAGCTCCTGGGGGCGCTTGGGGCCCTGGGTCATCCTGGGAGGAGGTGGGAGGTCCCCAGACTTGACCGTGCCCCAGCCCCACCCAGACTCCCCTCCCCGCCCCGGACCCCAGCCCAATCAGGATTCAGCACGTCGGAGGGCCCTCTGGCCCGAGGTAACTGAAGCCAGAGCCGCTGCCTTCGCTGGCTGCTGGGAGCTGCCTCCTCATCAGCTCGTTCTGCCTCACTCCTCCTCTTCACCTGCCTGCTGCCCCCCCATTCCCGCCTGATCCGCCCTGGCCCCCTGCCTTGCCAGCCCGGGTGGGCATGCTGCGGGGCCGGGGCTTGGGCTGTGGCGCTTGGCTTTGCCTGTGGCCTTGAATGGCCCCCCAAGCTGACAGCTGCCCCCTTTCCCAACTCCCCAGGCCGCTGCCTCCTCCCCAGGCCCAAGTCCCTTGCGGGCAGCGGCCCCTCCACTCGCCTGCTGACGCTGGAGGAAGCCCAAGCTCGCACCCAGGGCCGGCTGGGGACACCCACTGAGGTCACAGCTCCCAAGACCCCAGCTTCACCTGTGGAAAGGTAAGTGGGATGCCAGGGAGAGGGGAGGGCCAGCCTGAAGGCCCCGGCCCCTCAGCCTGCCGCCTGTGTCCTCCCACACCCCAGGAGGAAACGCGAGAGAGGCGAGAAACAGCGGAAGCCCGGGGGTAGCAGCTGGAAGACCTTCTTTGCACTGGGCCGGGGCCCCAGCATCCCCCGAAAGAAGCCTCTGCCTTGGCTTGGGGGCACCCGCGCCCCACCGCAGCCTTCAGGTCAGAAACTGGACAGCCAGCGTTAGGGGGAGGCACTCTGCGTGCCCCCGTGACCCTCTACTTCTCCCTGCAGGCAGCCGACCTGACACAGTCACGCTGAGATCCGCCAAGAGCGAGGAGTCGCTGTCGTCGCAGGCCAGCGGGGCTGGTGAGCACAGGGTGGCCTGGGCCTGGGCCCTGATGGGGCTGGGAGGGGCTGCGGCCCTGAGTTGGCCTCCAGATGTTGTACTTCACCTTTGGGGGCCTTGGGTTTTTTGTAGTTTTTAATCTGGACCTTAGGTACAATGAGTTGGATAAATCATCCCCTTAAGTTCATGACGCCCTGTGATCCCTGGTCCATGCAGGGTCCTTTCCAACAGCCTTTTATTCATTCCTTTTGAAAAAAAAGTCAGTAATATAACGAACACCCCTAAACCCCCAGCCAGAACTGAAAGAGCCCCACTCCCTTACCTGCGAGCTCCTCCTCCCCCCATGCCGCCCCCCGACCGGGTGCGTCCTCTGCATTTGAGGGTCGTCATCCCCTGCCTTTAAAGCTTTGGCACATACAGCGTGTGGGTAAGTCGCATATCTGCAGTGCTGGTCATTGTGAGGCTTTGATTAAAGGGCGTCATAAGAAAGGGGCGCACTGCGTGTGGAGCTGGGCCTTTTCGCTCCCCGCCGCATTGCAGACCCCATCCGAGTTGGAGTTGCCAAGGGGAGCACAGGTTCCTTCCTGTCCCTGCGCTCTCCTACTCTGTGTGTGGGTGGCCCATCAGGAGCTGTTTGTCCTTCCTACTGCTGATGGATCTGGGTGGGGGCTCTGAAGAGCAGTCCCTGCCACTGCTGAGAGCCCTCCCCGTACCCAGGAGAGCAGGGGCCCTCTGGAGGGCACACGCATGTTCCGCTGCACAAGACGAGGCCCGGCTGTTTTGCAAACGTGGCCCTCCAGCAGCCGTGACTGGGATCCTGCTGGTCTCACGCTCACAGCCCATGCGGTTGTCAGACGTCATTCTTGCTTCTGGGTCGGGACTGGTTCTTTTCACGGACTGGCCACTTATTTCCTTTATCACCCTTATGTGTCCCCAACCTGCTGGGTTGTGTGCCCTATTCTCACTGAGGTATGGGTCTGTAAAGTTCTGACGCCTGATGCCTAACTGCCACCCCCCCCACCCTCTGCCTTTCCAGGCCTTCAGAGACTGCACAGGCTACGGCGACCGCACTCCAGCACTGATGCTTTCCCCATGGGCCCGGCACCTGCTGGCTCCTGCGAGAGCCTGTCTTCGTCCTCCTCCTCGTCCTCCTCCTCGTCCTCCTCGTCCTCCTCCTCGGGGTCCTCCGCAGCTGGGCTGGGGGCACTCTCCGGTTCCCCATCACACCGAACCTCAGCCTGGCTGGACGATGGTGATGAGCTGGACTTCAGCCCACCCCACTGCCTGGAGGGGCTCCGGGGGCTCGACTTTGATCCTCTTACTTTTCGCTGCAGCAGCCCCACCCCAGGGGACCCTGCACCTCCCGCCAGCCCGGCCCCCCCGGCCCCTGCCTCTGCCTTCCCACCCAGGGCACCCCCGCAGGCCCTCTCGCCCCGTGGGCCTGCCAGCCCTGCCTCGCCCACCGCCCTGGACATCTCAGAGCCCCTGGCTGTATCAGTGCCACCCGCCGTCCTGGAGCTGTTGGGGGCTGGGGGAACACCTGCCTCGGTCACCCCAACGCCAGCCCTCAGCCCCAGCCCAGGCCTACGCCCCCATCTCATCCCCCTGCTGCTACGTGGAGCTGAGGCCCAGCTGAGTGACACCTGCCAACAAGAGATCTGCAGCAAGCTGGCACTGCCTGGTCCCCGGGGAGCCCAAGGCCAGCACGGTGAGTCCTGGTCAGCCCACCTCACAGACCCTGAGGCTGTGCCCAAGACCTGGCTGATGCCCCTTCCCATTCCTCTCTGCGTAGGTCCTGGTGTGGATTCACCACTGCTGCCCCCACCCCTGTCCCTCCTGCGCCCTGGGGGAGCCCCGCCCCCACCCCCCAAGAACGCAGCACGCCTCATGGCCCTGGCCCTGGCTGAGCGGGCTCAGCAGGTGGCCCAGAGACAGAGCCAACAGGAGCATGGGAGCACCCCAGCTGCTCCTTGCTCCCCTTTCCGCCGCTCACTGTCCCTGGAGGTGGGTGGTGAGCCCCCGGGGACCTCAGGGACAGGACCACCCCCCCACTCCCTAGCCCACCCGCGTGCCTGGGCTCCGGGACCCCCACCCTCCCTACCAAGGCAACCGACTGATGGGAGCTTGGTGAGGAGCCAGCGGCCCACAGGGACCTCAAGGAGGGGGCTCAGAGGCCCTGCCCAGGTCAGTGTGCAGCTCAGGGCGGGTGGGGGGTACAGGGATGCGCTAGAGACCACAGCCCAGTTCCCGTCTTCTGTCCCCTCACAGGTTCCTACCCCCAGCTGCTTCTCCTCAGCCCCCCGGGAGTGCCTGCCACCCTTTCTCGGGGTCCCCAAACCAGGCTTGTACCCCCTGGGCTCCCCACCCTTCCAGCCCTGCTCCCCAGCCCCAGCCTGGAGGAGCCCCCTGGGTGGCCCTGCCCCACTGGACAGGGGAGAGAATATGTACTATGAGATCGAGGCAGGTGAGGGCTCCTACCCTGGCCCCACCCGCTCCTGGAGTCCCTTTCGCTCCATGCCCCCAGACCGGCTCAATGCCTCGTATGGCATGCTTGGCCAATCGCCACCACCCCACAGGTCCCCTGACTTCCTGCTCGGCTACCCACCACCCCCCTCCTGCTTTCCCCATGACCATCTTGGCTACTCAGCCCCCCAGCACCCTGCCCGGCGCCCCACCCGACCTGAGCCCCTCTATGTCAACCTAGCCCTAGGGCCCAGGGGTCCCTCACCCGCCTCTTCCAGCTCCTCCTCCCCTCCTGCCCACCCCCGAAGTCGTTCAGACCCTGGCCCCCCAGCACCCCGCCTTCCCCAGAAACAGCGGGCCCCCTGGGGCCCCCACACTGCTCACAGGGTACCTGGGCCCTGGGGCCCTCCTGAGCCTCTCCTGCTCTACAGGGCAGCCCCACCAGCCTATGGGAGGGGCGGCGAGCACCACAGAGGGTCCCTATACAGGAATGGGGGGCAAGGAAGAGAGGGGGCTGGTCCCCCACCCCCCTACCCCACTCCCAGCTGGTCCCTCCATTCTGAGGGCCAGACCCGAAGCTACTGCTGAGCCAGAGCTGGGAGACGCCTCCCTTCCCCCTCACTGATCTTGACCCAACCCAAACCCTTGTTTTGTATTTTCTTGAGCTCCTGATCCCTACCCCAGGTTTCTAACTTTGTAACTTGCTTCTGATGTGGGTCCCTAACCTATTATAGCTTCCCTACCCTGGGCTGAAGGGGCTGTACCCATCCTCCCGCCGTCCTCCATCCTGGGGGCTCTTGCACAAATCTGAGGGCTGGGCTGACACCCTGTCCTCCCTCTCCAGGAGACCCCAGCATGCCCTGACCTGTGCACAGCGGGTGGGGGGACAGCTCCTTCCCTCCTCCCCATACCCCGCTAAACCATCTGACAAAATTAATGAATAAAAATGGTGAAAATGTGGCTGCTAATGTCCTGCTGAGCCCAGGCTCAGTGAATAAAGAGGCAGAGACAGATGGGTTGCTTTATCATTTTCTTTCCTTTTATCATTTCGGCAGGTGCTGAGTGGGGAGTCACTCCTGGGACGCTCTGAGGGGCGATATGTGCAGAGAGGGAGGGGGCCAGGGGTGCCCTAAGAATGTGTGCCAGGAGGGGGGTCGCGGCTGGGCCTGCCTCCAAGCTGGCCTCCACTGTCCAGCTCTGCTATGATCTCCTCCAGCAGATCCATCCTGGGGAGTGGTCAGGGAGGGGAGGACTGAGGGTCACCTCAGGGATGATGGGGCCCAGGGGCCCTCCCACCAGAGCCCATTTCTCACTTCTGCAGGCTGGAGAAGAGACCTTCTCTGATCAGCCCAGGGCTGGGCGCCTGCAGGAAAAAAGGCTGGAGCTGCCACCCGGCAGCCACGGATGGGCCTGGGAGGCTGGGGTGGGGCAGGGGGTGGGCTCGGGGTCCTCTGCTTCCCCTGCCCTGGTGGCATTCCCTGCCAGCAGCCTCCAGGGTGTGGGAAGCCTCCCTGTGGGTCAGCAGGCAGGGGGTGGGCTCACAGAACTGGGCGTCCGGCGGGGCAGCCCTGTGTGCGTGCCGCCACAGCCCCTGCAGGGCTCGGATCTTGACAGAACTTCTCTGAAACTGTTCCACAGAGCCCTGGTCCCCAGCAGGGAGGGTGGGTCCTGGAGGCTGGAGTGCAGGGCAGGGCCCTAGGGGGAGCAGGGTTGGTCAGGGGTCACAGATCAGAGAGGGGACAGTTGGGGGTCCCAGGGGGTCCTTGGTCAGAGGACAGGCAGCCAGGGAAATTGGGGCTGGTGACAAGTGGGGGGAGGGGTCATCAGTTTGTGATCAGATGGGTGCTCGGGGCCCTGGGGGTATCCATACTGTTGAGCTGGGCTCCAGGCCATGGCACAGGCTGACCCTGGCTGTGGGGCTGTGGCCTGGGCAGAGGCCATGGCTAGGACTGGGGCTGCTGCCTAGAGTCAAGCTGCTGCCCGAGTCCCATGCTGGGCCCCTCTGGACTCTGCTGTGGCCCGTGACCTCAGGAGTCTCCAGCGCCTGCAGAGAGCGATGGCAGAGAGCTGGCATGGGTTGCCCAGGTGCCCCACAGTTCCCTCAGTCCTCCACATCCCTGCCCTGGCTCCTACCTGAGATGGAGACGGGCCTAGGGACATCACAGGGGGCACAGGCCTGGGTGTAGTCTTGGCTCTGGAAGCCACCTCATAGTAGAGTGTCTCTGGGGGGCAGACCAGTTGACTGGAATAGGGGGGCACAGCTGAGCTGTGCCCAGCACCTGCCACCACCATCTCCTTGCCCTCTAACCTGGTGGGGAACACTGGGGTACAGGGCACAGTGTGGTCCGGCCCATTGGGGAGCTCACCTCAGGAGCCGAGTCCTGTGGGAAGGAGGCTAGGTGTGGGGACATGGGCCCTGCCTGAGGTTCCACAGCTACCACCTACCCCTGCCAACCTGTCCTGTACCTGGGCCAGGGCCTCCCGCAGCAGGTACCGCGTACTCTGCAGGCTGCCCGAGCGGTCAGCAGGCCCTAGGCCCAGCCCAGCCCGAACCAGGGCCTGGTAGGGGGCTGGCACCAGGGGGTCCAGGGCCGGGCTCTCACCTGCCTCCAGTTTAGCCTTCACCTCAGGTCCCTGTCTCCCAGCCCAGGGCAGCTCTCCTGTGAGGAAGCACGATTGGGGGACCCAAACGGGCAGGGTGCCACAGTGGGGCAGGGTGTAGGGTCACTCACTGACCAGTGAAGACCTCCTGGGCCAGGATGCAGAAGCTATAGAGGTCTGAGGTGGCAGCAGGTGTGTCACCGCAGATGAGCTCAAGTGGCAGCCATGGGTACAGCTCGGGAGGTGGGGGCAGCCCTGGGCCTGGGCCTCCCCAGAGGCAGCCCTGCTGTGGCCTGTAGATGCCGAGGAGACATGAGCCAGTAGCCACTGGACAGGGACACAGGAGCAGGCGGGTGAGACAGGCACTCACCTGGGCTGTAGCCAGCGTTGGTGCAGTGGGCGCCCGTGCTCCAGGCTGCCCACCTTGGCCAGGCCTGGCCGCACCAGCTGCACAGCATGGGAGCTGAGGCCGCCATGAGCACGCCAGCGGGCCTGCAGGAACAGCAGGGCTTCCAGCACCTGCAGCAGCAGGTGCCCAGGCAGCAGACCTGGCGCAGGGCGGGGACCCCCCTCACTCGGTTCCTGTGGGTGCAGCACCACATAGAGGGAACCCAGCCACACGGGCTCGAAGAGAAGGCGCAGCCCCGACAGGTCCGCTGAAGGGCTCAGCGCCATCAGCAGCAACAGGTTGGGGTGGTGCAGAGTGCTGGGGGGAGGAGAGCAGGCCACTCATGAGGAGGCCCCAGCCTGCCTCGGGGGGCTGCTCCTGGGCACAGATCTGCACCAGCCACGGGACAGGAGAGAAACTGAGACCCCAGGTCCCACAGCCTGGCAGTCATAGAGCCAGCACCCAGTTGGTACCCTGTTCACGCTCCCCCTCCCTGCACCCAGCTCCCCTCCGCAGCCTACAAGATACAGCACACAGAACTGGGTACCCACTTGCCAGTGGGGGGATGGCCACTCCAGTAGGAGGGCTCTATGCTGGGTGCTGGCCCGCAGGTGAAGACTGTAACCGTGGCCACTGCCACTGTCCCTGGTCTTGTTTATGAAACACTTGAGTCAGGAGAGCAGGCAGGAGACTGGCCTGTGGGACTGGGCTGGCCCGGGGAGAAGGCTGGGGCTGGTGCACCTGCAGTGCTGAAGGTCAGCCAACAGCACGTCAGGCTGGCTCCCAGGTGCCGTCAGCTGCCGCACGGTCACAGGGTGGCCCCTCCACAAGAGGCTGGAGAATGGGGGCGGGGAGAGAGAGGACATCTGAGACACGGGGGGGGTTTCTCGCGACGGGAGCAGGAGAGTTAGACTCTCCCTAGAGTGCTGCTGGACCGCCAGGCGTGGGGCGTGGGAGGGGGCTAGCTCTCACTTGATCATGAGGGTGTGGGAGCTGCTCTTGTAGGTGCGCACAGGCTCGCCCTGGGCTGGCAGCAGCTCCTTGGGGTCCGCGAGGGGTATGCCTGTTACCAGCCCCACTGGCCACAGGCTGCTCAGCTGGGGATGAGGAGCACGACTATGAGGCACAAAGAGGACAGGGGTGGTCCCCAGTACCCCACCCTCTTTCACTTACTTGTCCAAATCCCAAGCCTGGGATTTGGCGGGGTCCCCTGATCTGCTCCGGCCTTGGTGCCCTGGGGTAAAGGGCAGTCCAAGGGTAAGTTCGGGGAAGCTGGGAATGGTGGGTGGGCAGGCTTCACAGTGTGGACAGTTACCTGTCCGCCTGCACCAGCCACAGCCGAGACAGGGAGCAACACAGGCTGCGTCCAGAGCTGGCCTGCAACTGGCCCAGGGATGCCGTGGGTGCCAACTCAGCACCATGCACTAGTGCTGATATGTTGACACAGCAGAGCTGTAACAGCTCCAGCACCTGGATGGGGGGCATGTGGGGTGAGGCAGGGTGGGGGTGCTGGCCCTGATGCTCCCACCCCACCCCAGCCACTGCTCACCTCCTGGCTCTGCTCAGCACCACCCTGCTCTGCCCAGTCCCGAGGCGTGCGACCCTGCTGGTCATGCAGACGCAGGTCCCCCCCTGCCCGCAGCAGCTGCAGCACCACCAGGCTGCGGCCCGAGAAGGCACCTGCATGCACAGGTGTGCTGCCATCAAGGCAGCGGCTGCAGAGAACAATGAAGGCAGGAATGGATTAGGAAAGGGATGGATCAGGGACAAGAGGAGACAGGAGGGGGCAGTGAGGGATGAAAGGAGTCACTATGAACACGGCAGGTGGATATCAGGACAGGAAGGGTCACCTGGGGACACAGTGGAGCCTTTGAGAGGATGAGAGGATCACTGTGAGCATGGGAGGCACCAGGAGAACGGGAATAGTCTTGGAGGACAAGAAGGCGTTAACTCAGAGGACAAGGAGGGTGGTTACTGGAGACAGGAGGGTCATCAGGGGATGGAAGAAGGTCGTGAGGGAGAGAGGCCTCTGGGGAAGAAGGCCCTGGCTCTCTGGGGCTCAGACTCAGGGCCCTGGGGGTGTGGGGACATCACCACCTGTCCACTTACTGGTTGGGGTTTGCGCCAAAAGCCAGCAGGAGCTGCACGGCAGAGCTGTGGCCTAGCAGCGCCGAGAGGAAGAGCCCCGTCTGCCCAGCAGAGTTCTCACCATCCACCTGGACAACTGAGGGGCAGCGAGGCTCAGGGCTGTCCCCGCCCCTACTCCAGGGGCAGAGGTCCTGGGGGCTGCCAGGAAGCACGTTTGCCAATTCCCAGCTCCTACAGTCCCACCTGGACTGTTAACCTTTGATGCCAGGCTCCATCTCTATATCCAGGAACCCCCACCCTCCAGCCTCTGAGGACTCTGCCTCAGAATCTGTCTCAACACAGCGCTTACCATTAAGTCCACAGAGTTGGAACACGGGGTAACATTTACCTGCCGTGCCGACATCCCTCCCCCATCCCAGAGGGGTCAAAATCACAGGAAGGTACTCAGGGGCCAGGGGAAAGTGGACTTCGTGGAGACCTTGGCTTACAGTGTCTCACGCACTGTCCAGGGCAGGCAGCCTCCACCCAGCTCTAATTCAGTGCATATATGCAGGTCCCATGCAGCCAGCATCCAATTCTTCAAAACAATCAAACTCTCTGGATTTCATCAGGAAATCTCTCAAGTTTATTTTTGAACACTGCATCTAAGAGCAGAATCCCGGTAGCAACCTCCTCTGCACCTCTACCTCCACGTCTTTGCCAATCTCCTCCCCCCATCATCCTGCTCAGATCCCCTCTCCCAAACCCCCATCTCCCCACTCATCATGCCCCAAGCCCTGTTTCTGCACACCCATCAATCTGGAGTTCCTCTTCCTCCAGGCTATGTCCCACATCCTCAAGGAGGGCAACTGCATGGCATCCTCGTCCCTGCACTCCTATGTCCTTGGCAGACATGGCTAATCAATCACACACTTGGTCCAACCCAGTTTGGTCTCTGCTGCAAAATCCCTCCAAATGTGATCCTTCAGGAACCTCTTAATATCACACTCACTGCATCTTATTTTACTCAGTAATCCACCATCTTTGCAATGGCATCCTAACTGATTTTCTGCATTCGTCTTGAATGATCCCTGCAGGGGATCTTTTAAAACACAAATCATTTCGTGATATAAATAATTATTATAATGATAATCATTTCATTTTACGTATAGACAATCTTATACAAGTTGTTCCAAAACAGAAAAATAGAAAAAGAGGGCAAGGCTCATTGTATGGGGCTAGTATCCCCTTAATTCCCAAACTAGATGAGAGTTTCTAGAACCAGAAAGTGAAATGATATATCAATTCCATTTGTGACTATATACGCAAAACTCCTAAATAAAGTAAAAGCAGTAACCCAATTTATTCCCAGAGAGCAAGGATGAGTCAACAAAAGAAAATCTATCAACGTAATAGAGTCATTCATCTATCAATAGACATCAAAAGAGTCTATCAACATTCATAGAGTAAAGGACAAAAATCACATTTAGCTCAGTAGATACAGAAAAAGCACTTGATAAAATTCCATACTTACCTATGATTAGGAAAAAAAAAACCCTCAGAAAACTAAGAATAGATGAGAACGTCCTTACTTGATAAAAATTATAAACCAAAACCCAAGAACAAGCATGATACTGAATGCAGAAACACAGACTCATTCCCTTCAATATCAAGAACAAAGAAAGAGCTGTCCATTGATAACAAGGTTTGGGAGTTGTGGCCAACACCTTATGACAAGAAAAAGAAATTAGAGTTTAAAGATGGAAGGGCTGAGACCACTGCCACCATCTGCAGATAACAAAACAGTGAAAGAATCAACAAACAATTACAACTATTAAACAAGTTTAGAAAGTGGCCTGATATACAATCAAATTACAAAAATCACTGAAAAAGAGAAATTGTAAATTGGGTAATGTTAATTTCTTGCCTACAACGCCAATGGTTTCCCATCGCACACAGAACAAAATCCAACAAAATTCACACTCCTTTTGAGGCCCTTTCATCTCTGTGTCTGCTGCCTCTTCAGCTTCAGTCCTCTCTGAGTCCCCTTGCTCCCTGCTGCTACTTACGCATACCCAGTTTGTTTTGACTTCAGGGCCTTTGCACTGGCTAATCCATCTTCCTCCAGCTTTTTGCATGACTAGCTCTTACCCTGTGGGACTAAAGTATCACCCCATCCGAAAGGCCATCCTTTCCAGCGTGTCCACCCATCCTCATCATTCTCTTAAACTCTCATAATAGATTTCATCCACAACGACCCAGAAGGTCATGTTTACCTTACACCCCAACACCGACAACAGAGCCTGGCACACAGCAGGTGCCTGGTACACAATTGTCGACTTGCCGACTGAAGTTGCACCCCCATGCTGCCCCTTGATCTTGCCCCACAGGCCGTTCCAGCAGCCAAACCCTCACCTCTCCGCAGGAGCCGGCTGAGGCCCCAGCCTGGGCCCCCAGCCACAGCCAGGCGATGCAGACGGCCCACCTGGCCTTCTGGATCCCGAACGGAGCCCAGTTTCACGGGGAAGCGAGAGCGCAACAAGGGCATCCTTGGCTCTGAACTGGGTCAGCTCCTGGGCAGGGATCTGCTAGGGGCGCTCATGAAGGCAGAAGGCAACGAAGGATGGGACCTCCGGGCGTGATAAAGACAGAGCTGGATGGAATGGGGGTGGGGGGCAGTCTGAGAAAGGAAGGGAATTCAGGAGGGGTCTGATTTGGAGGGAAGCATCTGAATGAGAAAGGGGGTGCACTCGGGAAGAGCTACATACCAGAGGGTCAGGGCCCTAAGGGCATCTGGGAGCCAAAGGGGATTTGGAAATCTGGGGGCTGGGGACTCCATCCAGGGGAGGGGGTATAAGGGCTGCCGGTCCAGGGAAGGAGTCTAGGGCTTAGGAAGAAGGTCTGAAGACCACCTCCAGGCTGGAGGAAGGGGGCCTGAGGGTCAGGATCTGAGAGGGGCTGGAGTCTAAGCGCTGTGAGCCGGGGTGGGGGGGGGGGGTGGGCAGGGGAGGACAGTCCGAGGGCAGGGGGTGCGGGCGAGGGAAGGGGCCCTGGGGAGGGGTCTGAGGGACGAAGGAGCACTCAGGGTCTCCGGGTTGGGAGGATCTGAGAGTTGGGGGCCTGCACTGAAGTTCAGGGAAGCGTCCGTGTGCCAGGGTGGGGTCCACAGAAGCAGGAAGGGACTGAGGGCACGAAAGGGTCTGAGGCGGGTCTCTGTGCGCTGGGGGAAGGGTGCCCGGAATGGAGCCAGGCTCTGATAAAGGGGCGGGGCCAGAGGGCTGTGGGGTGGGCGGGAAGGAAGGGACGCCGGGGAGGGAGGAAGGGGGGCTGGGGGCGGAGTCAATGGAGAGCTGAGGGCCAGGTAAACTCTGGGAAGGTTCTCAGGTCCACACCCCAGCCCAGGAAGCTCTGCACCTACCGTTGGGCTCCGATAGTGGTCACCCGTGACTGCCACGTGACTGCCACGTGACCCCGATGCCCTAGATCTGGCGGTCTGGGCGGGAGTCCGAGGCGCATGCGCATCACTGGCCTCCAGCCACGTTTGCACTTGCGCAGTAGGTTCCCTCCCCGAGAGAAGCCCCTGTATCCCTAGGGTGAGCCGACGGAAGAGAGCGAGGTCTGCCCGGGACAGTTAGGGCTGCGCCCTATATGTTACCCCTTCTTACCTCCGCCCCAGGACTTGTTGAGGTGGTGGGCTTTCCTCATCCTTGTCCTTGGCTGTCTTTTCCCGTGCTTCTCACCCACGCCCGCGGGCTGTTTCCTCTCCCTGTCCCTGCCCCAGGCTCTCCTCTTTGCCCCTGACCCGGGGCCGAACAGTGTCCTGGACACCTCCGCCTCGACGTCCCCTGGGACCCTCACACTCACCGGGGCCCACACGGGCCTAAGTATCTACCCAAAAGTGAGTTTCCTCCCGGATCCCAGTCTCAGGTTTGGCCCCACAGTTCCCTCTTCAAGCCAGAGCCCTGGGCCTCTCCCTGAGTGTCTCGTTCTCCTCCAGCCTGTCACTGGGTGGCCCATCCGCTCAGCCTCCTGACCGTCCTTTCCACCAGCCCCTCCTCCCTTCCCTACAGCCCCGCCCTGCCCCAGCTTCCCCTGGGCTCCTGCCTGCCTCCCCACTCTGGTCCACCCAGCACATGGCAGCAGGTGGAATCTTCCTGAAGCCACAGCTGACTCGTCCCCATCTGCTTGAAATCCTCCCGACCCCCAGACCCTATAACCCGGCAGCTGAGACTGCATGACTTGGCCCTGCCTGCTCCATCCTGTCCCCGGCTCCCCTTCTGCCTCACACTTCGCTCTGTCGGCAGGGCCCTTCTCTTTCAATGCTCTTCTCGATGTTCACTCGGTTATTCTTATGAATCCTCTGGGAAGCCCTCTTGATCACCAAGGGTCTCCTCGGGCCTCCCACAGCCGCCATGCTTTCCCCAACATCGCCTGCTGCTCTGCCTGGGCTCCCCCATCACAGCCCTGACCGCTCTGGGCTGTCGCTGTCTGAAGATGAATCTGTCTGCCCTGCTGGACTGAGAGCCCTGTGAGGCCGGGCCTGGGTTGTCTGTCACTGTTGTGTCCCCAGCATTGTTTGCCTCAGAGCCTGGCTCAGAAGGAGCCTTGGTAAATGCTTATTAAATCAGAGATGGTTTGGCTCTTCCCTCTGTCCCTCCCTGGATGTGTGGCCTTAGCCCAGCCTCTTGACTTTGGGGCCTCAGTGTCCACTCTTCCTCTGTGCTGTTTGCTTGGGCATCCACAGGAGTGAGGAAAGTTCCCACATCGGCCACTGACGGGCTGCGTGGAGCGACCACAGGTCCATCGCAGGCTAGGCTGCCTCAGGGTTGTGGGGCGGCCTCGTTAGTCTCTGATCCATGCCCTTGCTGTGCTCTTGGGTCATCTAAGGGTCTCTCCTGAGCTGCAGAGCCCCCTAGCTGGGGCTGGCTGAGGTTGGGATTCCCCCTGCCCTAAGGAGGGACTTCAGTGCAGGGCAGCAGCTCACGACCTTTATTGACCACATGACCCCTGCGGGTGCTAACGGGGTCCGCCTAGGCCCCGCCCCAGCAGCCTGCGCCGAAGTTCTTGGCTGAGCAGCTCCTGTTCCCTGCGGGCGCCCCGCAGCACACTCCGGTTCTCCTGGGCCCTCCGGATCAGGTAGGGGATCACCTCCTCCAGGGAGCCGTAGGGGATGGACTTATACACAGCGTAGCCGGCTTGCCCTGGGGGGAGAGTGTTGGCAGGATGTGGGGTCATGTTTGGGGAGAGGCTTCCCCAGACCCCATATGGAACAGAGACTTCCATTTCTGAGAACGTGGCAGACTGGGCGAGTTGGACAAAATTCCCCACCGAAAAAAACTTGAGGTAAACGTTTTTAAAAACTTCTCAATGTTGTTAAAATGCTGCCAAGAGAATAATTTACTAATCCAAGAATTAAGAGAAAGTGAGATCTCAGAGAAGGAAAGGATGCACCAGAAGCACTCCTGCCCTGAGGGCAAAATTGAGCCGTTATTTGATGACTTCAGAGTTGAGGGGGTAAAGAAATGGAGCCCCAAAGCCTGAGTGGGGTGAGAGTCCTAAAGGAGAACTTCTGGAGTTAAGGAGTTAAGCTGAAACCCCAAAATCTGCACCGTCAGAGTTAACAAGAAGTAACGGTCCCCCGTCTCCCCACCCCCTACCCCGGGCTGGCCTTGACTGTAGGCAGAGCTGGGGAGAGAACAGAGACCATCTCTGAGAGCTCGTGGCCATGTATTAGTCCCCTCACATATTCCCAGCCCAAATTTGCATCCCTGGGATGTCTCAAGAAGCCTCAACTGTGAATTTAGGGTACAGGGGTTTTGTACCCCTTAGCGCCTGGCGGAAGAAAACACAGAGGCCCTGGGGAGCAACAGGGTGAGGACAGCAAAGGCCCAGAAACCAAGACGCCGTGACCAAGGACTAGCAGAAGTCGCAGACAGCAGATGCAGACACAGGCTTCAGGCCTTCAGCTACGGGAACAACAGACCTATCTGGAAGGGTCTGGCAGCTGGGCAGCTGCAGGGTCTGGATGGGAGCCTGGCCCAGAATTGCTGGGGATGGGAGAAGGGGTCTGGCTGGGAAGAATGAGGCCTGGGGGCTGGTAGGGCGTAGGGTGGGGTTGGGGAATGGGCCATTCACATACCCAGTGCCAGGGAGACGTGGTCACACATCCCCAGAAGTTGTCCAAAACAGACAGGCCCATCCAGAGGAATGCCCAGCTCCCACATGCTACAGAAAACGCCACGTGATCAATCCACACAGTGGGTGGAGCCAGAGCTGAACTTCAGCCGCTGCGCACCCATGTGACTGTTCCAGTTACTTGAATATTGAAGTACTTCCAGACTCAGTGATAAGTGACCACTGAGCCCCCTGACAGCTCCCAGTGAGTCCCAGCTCCTTCCCAGCAACCCTCGACCTCCTCGGGCCCCAGCAAATGAGAGGCGGTGCCTAGTGCAGCTGGGGCCACTCGGACCTACAGCATAGCAAGGGTTAAACGTTTTGAATATCCTCCCCAGAAGCCCTCTGAACTGCTGGCCACCCCACCACCCCCGCCCCGCACCGCCCCTCTCCTTGTTCTGAGTCCACTGCCCTCTGCCCGTGGACTGTGACAAGGGAGAGGAAGGGAGGGGCGTTCTTGTGGGCACCTCTTTCCCATCCCCCCACCTCATACCGCTTGGTTGCCTGTTGAACAGATTCCTCGTTGTGGGAAGCCACCATGAGGTGACACATGGGGCCACGGTGGGACACATGGGCCAGCATCAGCTCCAGACAGCGGCTGTAACTGCAGGGAGATGCTCCGTTCAGCTTATGGCACCTGGTAAGTGTGGGTCAGGCCCCAGGGACTGGGGGTTCCTGTCCTCAGGAGGTGCGGTGCCTAAGGGCAAGGACTCCGGAGTCAGAAGGTACCTCCGTTCCACTTGCACCTTCTCTGAGCCTCCTTACTCTCCTCTGCTAACTCGAGTGCACCTAACAGCCCTGTTGTGAGGATGCAGTGAGATGAGGGTGTACACAAAGCCTTTGGGACAACGGCAGTCTCACAGCAAAGGGCCACATCGCACACACAAGATGACATTTACCCAAGGGCGCTCACTGCCGCGTTGTCTACAGGACGTGATTAGCAATAACCAAGTGTCTGTAAGAGGGGAGGTGAACAATGGCACGCAGAGGATGGTGGAGTACCACACGGCGGTAAACAGAACGACGACGCTGTGGCACCCACGTGGAAAGGGAAAGAGCCTGGCAAACGCTTCCCGAGTTGCCGTGGCCAGGGCCCCCCCGTGGACTTCACGTGCGACCCTGGTGCTGCTGCACTGCCCTCCAGGTCTGTTCTCTGCACTTCTCTGCCCTCAGCAAGCTGCTTTTACCTCCCGCATCACCCACGGAGTCATGAGCAGGAGAAGAGAGGTCCAGAGGAGAGAAAGCTTGGGTATGTCGCCCTTAGGCCCCTCCCTGGCCCACTCTGACTGTCCCGAGTCTGGCCACACCTCCTCAGCTATAGCCCAGGGGTCCTCACAGCTTCCCATTCCTGTGGCTTCTGGGTGCCTCAACATTCCTTGTGGGTTCCCCTGACCTTGCCCACACACCACAGATAGTCCTGTCATGAAGTTTCCTTCAGTTAACCCCCCTGGTGTCTTTTCCTTTGGGGTCCTGCCAGACACACATACGTTCACTCAGCTGATTCTCCAACCAACTCTGTGAGGTAGGTGTTCTGGTCATCCCGTTTTGCAGAGGGGGAGACTGAAGCTCAGAGAGGTTAAGTCTCTTATCCCTGGGTCACACAGCTACAGGTGGCTGAGCTGGGATTTGCACCTAGGCTGTCTGATGCTTCAGGGCCTGGACCTGTTATCGCTGGACTATTCTGCTTGAAAGATCAGCAGCTGAGTGGAAGAGCAAGGAGCAGTGTGTGGGCCTGATGCCTTCTGCACAAACACACTCAAAAATCATTGTGTTTGCCTGAATACACATTCAGGGACTCAGGAAATGCATCTAAGAAAGAAACAAAATTGGTTACCTTGCGGGGCACAGAGACTCCATGATTAAATGGGGATGGGGGTGGAAGAGAGAGATGTCATGTGTTCATTTTCATGTTATTTAGATTTTTTAATTGTGGATTTATTATTTATTCAAAATTTATATTAAGATATTGATAGTACTGTGCTGAAGAGGATGTGGAGAAACTGGAACCCTCACGTCGTGCTGGTGGCAATGGAAAGTGGCACAGCCACTTTGGAAAACCAGCTGGCATTTCCTCCAAAAGTTAAATGTGGAATCACCATATGACCCAGCAATTCCACTCCTAGAGAACCGAACTTTCAAGAAAATTGAAAATATATGTTTACAGAAAAAATGTGTCCATGAATGTTCACAGCAGCATTATTCACAATAGCCAAAAAGTAGAAACAATCCAAATGTCCTTCCACTGATGAACAGATAAACAAAGTATGGTATTTCCCATACGATGGAATATTATTTAGCCATGAAAAGGATGGAGGTGCTGATAGATAGCTGAGCCTTGAAAACATCATGCTGAGTGAAAGAAGCCAGACGCAAAGGCCACATGTTGTCTCATTCCGTTGATAGGAAATGTCCAGAACAGGTGAATCCACAGAGACAGAGGTAGATGAGTGGTTGCCAGGGCTGAGGGGACGAGGGAACGGGGAGTGACTGCTGATGGACGTGGGTTTCTTTTTGAGGTGGTGAAAGTGTTCTGGAGTTAGACATGGTGATGGCTGCACAGCCTTGTGGATATACTGAAAGTCACTGAACGGTACACTTTTAAATGGTGAATTTTTATGGTATGTGAATTATATCTCAGTAAAAAAAGTAATAAGGGTGCCAGTTGTTAAGCCTCTGGGACACAAATGTGCCCAGGAGCCCTCCTAGGCCTTGGGTGCAGACCTGGGCTCCGACCATGGCTGGGCCCCTTGTCCTGTAAGTTTGGGCGAGTCCCGCAGCCCCACAGACCTCTGCTCCACCCACTGTGAAGTGGACAGGGCTTGGGGGCCACCTTGGTTGCTACTGCGACCAGGGTCTGGCACATTTCCTGATCTAAATCAGGCGGTCGGCGAGTGTGTGGTGAATGAATAAATTCCTTCTTTGCGGGGCCGTGGCCTGGGGGTCTGGGGCGCTCACCCACATCTTGCCGCCTGCACAGGGTGATCTGAGGTGGGTAAGAATGCAGACTCTACAGCCTGTCTGCCTGGGCTCAAATCTTGGTCCTGCCACTTACTAGCTGTGTGACCTTGGGTAAGTGTTCCATCTCTCTGTGCCTCAGTTTCTTCCTCTCTGAAGTAGGGTTGATAATAATAGTACCTACTGCTTAGGATAGTTTATTTATTCATTCAACAGGTCTGTACTGAGCCCCTGCCGTGCAGCAGCACAATTTAAGCCCTGGGGGTTCAGCAGTGAACAAACTGGAGCCCCCTGCCCCCGCCCCCGCCCCCACCCCGGGCCCACGCTGGGGAGACAGACAATGAGCAATTGAACACGAGACTACACAGAACCTCAGCTGCTGATGTGTGCTAAAGAGAAAAGTCTATCCAGGAAGAGGGTGAGTGTGGGTGTTCTAGTTTTTGACACAGAGGGCAGGGCAGCTCCCCTGAGGGGGGACCAATAAGTAAAGACCCAAGGAGGTGAGGGACTGAACATGCAGCTGTCTGGAGGGAGAAAGTTCCAGGCGGTGGGAACAAGAAGTGCAAAGGCCCTGGGGACCATCAAGGAGGCCAGAGGGGCTGGAGTCAGTGAGCGAGGGGGAGGGTGGGAAGAGGAGGAGTTAGAGAGGCGACCGGGAGCAGATCCGCGGGCCTCGTGGGCCACTGTAAGGATTTGGGGTTTATTGAGGGTGCGGCGGCAGCCGCGGAAGGATTTTGAACTGAAGAGGGACATGATTTGACTCAGCTATGAACGAACAGGAGGGGTGCATGTGGGGAACAGACTGGGCAGGGGAGGACTAAGGAGGGAGCAGGGAGCACAAGGAGCAAGCTGCTGTTCAGGTGGGAACTGACTGTGTCCTGGACCAAGGAGAGGGAGTAACATGTGGACCCACGGGGACGCTCAGCATCATGGGTGGTGAGTTCTAACTAAAAGTGAGATGTTATTTGTCTCAGAGGCCGGCCTGGCCCAGTCCTACCTCTGATTGGTAGCCTCGTAGTCAGGCTGAGTGGGATCTTGGGTCCCCTGGAGCCGGGCCACCTCTCTCTCCTTGTCCAGATACGCCCCTCGGACCAACTTCACTCCAAAGGCCAGGCCGGCCCTGTCTGCAGCCTCAGCATCCCGCCTCAGCCGCTCGTGTGTGTCCTGGTGGGGCACACAGGCAGCTTCGGGCGGGGCGCTGGGACCCCAGCCCACAGCCCCCCGAAGCACCACGCACCTTCAGATAAGCCTGGTAGGTGTTCCACACCCAGGGCCCGCCTTCCCCGGGGCGGTTCCAGCGCTCGGCCAGGGCGGCCACCAGCAGAGACAGGGCAGGGTTCAGCGAGGTGTACTCAGCATCCACCAGGAGCCGCACGCGCTGGGCCTGGGCATGCTGGGGGAGAGAGAGGCTGTGATCCGGACCCCAGGCGCCCAGCAGGGGCAGCACAGCCAGACCACTGCAGAAGGTGTTACCTGTGCCACCCGGTGCAGGCGGCTCAGAGAAGACTGGAGATGCTGGTTTTGCTCGGCATTCAAGCAAGAGATCTGGAGGCCCTGGGGGGACAGCAGGGGAGGCAGAGCAGTCAGGGCTACTGGACCCTTCCAGGGCCGGAGTCTCCTCTCCCCCACCCCCAGGAAGGGAAAAAAGTTTAGAAATTGTTAGAAATCTGAAAAGCAGCCAGCTATGTATCACATAGATGCTATTTATTGAGCTATAATACCCTGGTTAAGAGACCCAGAACCTGAGTTTGAATCCTGGCTCCACCACTTACTGTGTGGCCTTGAGCAAGTCACACCTCTCTGGGCCCCAGTTTTTCTCCTCTGTGAAATGGAGATGACAGTAGCATCTACCTCATGCAGTTGGTCTTTTTGGTTTGTGTTTTTTTAGCGGTTAACATTGTAAATTTTATTATGCATTTTTCATATTTCTTGCAAAAGCAAGTCTACTGGTAACAATTTTGTTTGTCTGAGAAGGTCTTTATTTCTCCTTCACTTTTAAAGGATAATTTTTTTTTTCCTGAGGAAGATTTGCCCTGAGCTATCATCTGTGCCAATCTTCCTCTGTATTCTATGTGGATTGCCACCACAGCATGGCCACCAATGAGTGGTGTAGGTCTGAGCCCGGGAACTGAACCTGGGCCACTGAAGTGGAGCGCACCAAACTTACCCACTATGCCATGGGGCCACCCACTTGAAGGATAATTTTGCAGAGTAAAGAATTATAGGTTGGTGGTTTTTCTCTCAATACTAAATATTTCCCTCCATGCTCTCCTTGCTCGCGTAGTTTCTGGGCAGTCGATGTAATTCTTACCTTTGCTTCTCTCATAGGGAAGGTGTTTTTTTATCACTCTGGCTTCTTTCAAAATTTTTTCTTTGATTTTCTGTAGTTTGAATTATACGCCTACGTATAGTTTTTTTGACATTTGTCCTGCGTAGGGTTCTCTGAGCTTCCTGGATCTGTGGTTTGGTGTCTGACATTAATTTGGGGGAAATTCTCAGTCATTATTTTTTTCAAATATTTCTTCTGTTCCTTTCTCTCTTTCTTCTCCTTCTGGTATTCCCATTACACATATGTTACACATTTTGTAGTTGGCCCACAGATCTTAGATATTCTGTTTGGGTTTTTTTCAGTCTTTTTTCTATATGCTTTTCAATTCTGGAGGTTTCTATTGAGACATCCTCAGCCACGTCCTGTCTACTAATAACCCCATCAAAGACACTCTCCATTCTTGCTTACTATTATCTAAACAGACCTCTAGCCTTTCTTTTCAGTTCTTTCTTAGAATTCTTAACCATCACCCTCAACACCCACTCACGGGCAGTGGGTGAATGTTTCCCCAAACACGTACGAAGCACTTAATACCCAGTGGCACATTGTAAGCAATCAGTAAGTTCTCCGCTATTAATTTATTGTTTAAAAATCGCTTGCTTGCTTGCTTCCTTCCTTCATTAACATATATTTATCGTATCCCGTCTGGGCACCAGGGGCTGGGGAGATGGCAGGGCACAGGAAGTCATGAATTGTGCTGTGGAACCAGTGGATGTGGAGACCAAGGATGGGCGGAGACTCAGATCCGAGATCGGGGGAGGTAGGGCTGCCTCTGAGATGGGGACAGGAAGGAGGGGCAGGTGTGGGGAGACACAGAGACCAGTATAGGGCCTGGTAGGTGTGAGGGTCTGGGGCATGTCCAGGAGGTTCATGGGAAAGGCTGGGGCTGGAGACAGAAACAGGGGCATCATTAGTGCTGGGTGGGAAACTGAGGCTGTGGGGGTAGGTGGGGAGGCCCCTTCGAGGGGAAGAAAGAGTGAGGCAGGAGGGAGCCGGGACCCAGCCCTGGGAAACCTCTTATTTAAGAGATGAGCAGAGAAAAACCTAAGACAAACTGAGAATGAGCCAGCAGGATGGAAAAGGAAAACCAGGTGGGATGTCCTGAGGAAGCCAAGGAAGCAAATGACAGAGGAGGAGGAAGGCTCCCCCCGCTCAGGTGCCAGCCTGGCGGGGGCTTTCATCCTTAAAACCTCCCTGGGGAGAAGTTACTATCACTGTCCCCACGTGAGTGCACTACATCTCATAAAGAGATAAAACACGTTATCCTCCAAAGCTGATCCTCTGAAACCGCAAATCCTGCCTCTATGTGTTCTGGGACACATTTTCAAAATTAAAAATTAAGTGCCAGCCCTGGTGGCATAGTGGTTAAGTTCAGCGTGCTCCACTTTGGCAGCCTGGGTTCAGTTCCCAGGCACAGACGTACACCACTCATCGGTGGCCATGCTGTGGTGGCGGGCCACATGCAAAATAGAAGAAGATTGGCACAGATGTTAGCTCAGGGAGAATCCTCCTCAGCAAAAAAAAAAAAATAAAAAGTAAAAATTTAAAAAAGAAACATCAGCATGTCCCCTGCAGCATTGTTTGGGGTGGGGGAACTCCGAGGCCACCCGGGTGTCCATCCCAGGAGTCCGTCCCGGGAGAGGTGAACCTCACGGCTAGAAACAGCAATGAAAAGCAATCAATTCTATGTATGCAAAGAGGCTTGGATGGATCTTAAAGTCAGAGCGCTCGGTGGGAAAAGTGTGAAACAGAACGGGAGAGAGAACACAGCAGCATTTGTGTGCGTCTTTACACACATCCCAGGCTGATGGAGGAGGGCCGGAGGGAGCTTCTGCAGGGATGGGAACGTGCTTTCACTTGACAGGAATTTGAATTGCTCAGGTGTGTGTATTGTCAAAGCTCATTGAAAGGTGCATTTACAATGTGTGCATTTCCTTGTGTATAAATTTTACCGGAGAAGAAATCAAGTCCTGTAAGTGACTGTCCAGCTCTAGTTAGTGATGCACATCTTGAAGCATCTGTGAGGAAGTGTGGATTGATGGGCGGAGAGAGGGATGGGGAGAGACAGGTACGATTTAAAGCACATGTAGTTAAATGTGCACGATGGCAGGTCTATGGGCGTTCCCTGTAAAATTCCTTAAACTTTTCTATATGTTTGAACATTTTCATAAAATGTTGGAAAAAATATGCTCCCAAACAGTATACACTTGGCAAAACAAGATCACAATAATGAAGAGATCCATGGTATACAGGGTGAAGGGGTTGCCAGTGGCAGGGAGGGTAGAAATAGAATACGGAAAAAAAAAAAAAAAAAAAAAGAAATGAATGAACCAAAACCCTACTGGTCTAATGATGACTTCCAGCCAGTACACACTAGCATATCTGAGTGATTGCTAAAAGATCGATAGGCTTTCTTCTGTTTGCTAAAAGCTCCCAGCCCCAGGGGCCTCCCCTGGAACCCACAATGGCCTGTATCCCATCCATTCTGACTGTGCCCCCGGGCTCAAGCCACGCTTCTTCTGATTGTCTCCAGCCTGGGAAGCAGTGGTCATTAGAACATCCTGCTTGCAGGTGCCTGCTGCTTCCAGGTCCAGGGGACTCTGCCCCCGACGTTCCCCACCAACCATCCAGTGTCCCCTAGCCTGAGGTCCTTACCCGCCCAGAGTCCATGGCTTCTGCCAGCCTCTCGGGGCTCAGCTCCCAGGAAGCCCCCAGCCTTCTGACCCATGAGGTTAGCTCCCTCTGGAATGGGGTGATGGGTGGGGTAGTGAGGGGGACTCAATGGGCACCTCACCCTCCTCCCCCACCGTCCTGACCGTCCCTTACACAGAGCCGAGTGCTGGTCAGCGCCGTCATCTTCAGCTGCATGAGGATGTTCCCAGTCGGGCCAGGGGCCTCCAGGAGCCCTCGTGACAGGTCCACGCACCGTAGCATGGCGCTGAGGTTGCCTTCGTACCAGGCCTCACTGCCCAGCCAGCAGGTGTCAGGTCCCTGAGTCCACTAACCCCCTCCTGCCGTCCTACCCCCTCCCCAGGCCCTGGTCCCCTACTCACCCAATCTTGACAGCCGAGTCCGGCTCCTCCTCAGTGGGCACTGCCAGCAGGGGCCGGAGGCAGAGGGTCTGGAGCTGTTGGACACAGCCCCTCACCTCCTCTGCCGTCTCGCCAGCCACAAACTGCCCGTAGATGGATGCTCGGAGAAGTGCGCCCGAGAGCCGGGAGCCCAGGAGGCGCTGAGACCAGGCCTGGAGCTGGGGTGACAGGGAGCGAGGGCTCAGAGCTGGGCCCTGGGGAGCCCCTAGGACAGTCCCCAGGGTCACTGCTCACCGCCAGCCCATGGGTGACCAGAGGGGGCCAGCCACACAGCCGTAGCACCAGCAAAGCCCGTGTGAGCTCTCCTGTGCGCTTGAGGTGGAAGGCCCCCCCGTCAAAGCTGAGGGGCTGCCAGCCCCCAGCGGAGGGGCCGGCTTGGGGACAGAGCACTCGGCACGTCCAGAGCATCAGGATGCCTGGCCACTTCCACACCGGGTAAAGGGGCTTGGGGGCAGCAGGTCTACCAAGTGCCCCTTGCCCGGCCAGACCAGTGACAGATTAACCAGGCAGTAGCCAAGGCAAGGCAAAGCTTCGGGATCACAGGCTCCTTGGGGGGTAGTTAATTATTAACTGATGGGAACAGAGTTCAGAATAGCGGGTCAGGAAAGGAGACCCCCAATAACAGCCCCAACAACTCTCAGCATCATGGCTCACAATTATGAGCGGCCCACCATGTGCCAGTGGTGCTAAGTGAGAGGGTGGGCTCTGCAGCAAGGAAGTTTGGCCTTGTAATCTTGGGAAAGTTACCTAGCCTCTCTTGTTACCATTGCTTCATCTTAAAATGCAAGTGTGGCATTATCGAATAAATTTGAAAATGCACATAACCCATAACCCAGCTGTTTCTTACTACATACATTTCCTAGAGCACTTGAACATAAGTCAGGAAACATGTACAGGAAGGGATTTCATAGCAGCACTGTTTATAATAGCCCCAAATGGGAACCACCCAAATCTCCATCAACCAGAGAATGGATAAATACATTGTGGTATATATATATATTTTTTTTTCTTACAGTGGAATACTATACAGCGATGAAAAGGGAATGAATTACTGACACATGCAATCACATGGGTAAATCTCACACACATAATGTTGAGTGAAAGAAGCCAGACGTCAAACAGGACATGCTGTATTATTCTAGTCAATAAACTTGAAAGCAGGGAAAATGAAATGACCGTGAAGTTTTGGGGATACATACGTGAGTGGTCAAACTATAAAGAAAAGATAAGCAAGGAAATGATTGTCACAAAAGTCAGAGAGATAGTTACCTTGGGGGAAGGGAGGAATTGCCACTGGGGAGGGGCACATGGGGGCTTCTACGTCCTTTTTTCTTAACCTGATGATGATTCACAGTTGTTCACATTATTTTTTAAAGCCATCCATCTAAATTTTGTACTCCTGAAGGTATAATACATTTCACAATAAAAGTAAAAAAATCAATCATAATGTCAGTCGCATGGGGTTGTTATGAGGATCCAATGAGTTCTTGAATACACAACCTGGTATAGAGTAGGTGCTCAGTAAGTACTGGCTGTGATCCTTAAGTGCTGCATATACACAATTGCATTGGTGCCTGTGCTCCAGATGAAGTACAAGCCATTAATCACCCCTGTGTTGGGGTTTCCCCGAACCACCTCCAGTTCCATGAGTCACTAGAAGGACTCACAGAACTCAGAAAAGCTTTTTTACTCACGGTTATGGTTTATCCCAGTGAAGGGACACTGATTAAAAATAGCAAAGGGAAGAGATGCGTAGGGTCCAGGAGACGCCAGGCACAAGGTTCTAGTTGTCCTCTCCCAGGGGAGCCAAGCGAATGGTCTTCAATTCTCCCAGCAACGATGCGTGAAGGCACACATACTGCATTGCAGCCTTGGTGTCCAGGCTTTTTATTGGGGGTCAGTGACATAGGCACAGCTGACCTCCCACATGACTGGCCATCCAGAGGGCAAGCTGATACTGCACGGCCCAAGGTCCCCGGATAAATAAAGACACTCTTATCAAGCAAGGTATTCCAAGGGCTTAGGAGCCAGGCAAAATTAATTCTTCACTGCACAGCAACATTTCACAGATGTGAAAAGTGGAGGCTCAGAGAGGTAGAGTTACCTGCCTGAAGTCACACAGCCAGTTGGTGGCCAAGTGTGTGTTTAATGACCTTGTCCCCTGGTCTCCTTGGCCTCAGGATTTTGACCACCTCTTTCTGCAGCCTTTTCTTCAGTACCCAATTCACAGAACTGAGTGACGAGAGTCAGACTATAAACCCAGCAAAGCTGGAGCTAAAAAAGTCTTTAAACTTTTTTTTAAATTACATTCCCAGTTCATATTTAACAATTAAAACGATATGAAAGGGAGCAGGGTGAAAAAGTCATTTTTCTCCCACTCCTGAATTTCAGTCCCTCAATTTCCTCCCTCTAAGGCAACGGGGTGTTTTTGAAAAGACAGTTTGTGCGTGGAACGTGCACCCATGTATCTCCTTTATTCACGACATAATGAGAAAATCGCACTCATCTCTTTGCACATTGATTTTTTTAAACTTAACAATGCATTTTGGAGGATCACTCCCATCTCAGCACATGTAGCTCTGTCTCAAATTTGAAAGATCCTGTTATTTCTTCCCTTCATGTTTGATGGAATTCACCAGGAAGCCCATTTGGGCCTGGAGTTTTCTTTGTGGGAAGGTTTTTAATAATGAATTCAATTTCTTTAATAAATGTAGGGCTTTTCATATTTTCTATTTCACTTTGTGTCAGCTTTCATACCTTGCGTTTTTCAAGGAATTGTCATTTCCTCTAAATTGTCAAATGTGACTACGGAGTTTGTAACGTGAACCTCGCTTTCATTCTTGGTATTGGTAAGTTCTGTTCTCTCTCCTTCTGATGGGGCTGGCTGGGGATTTCATCAACGTGCTTGATCTTTTCAAACCACCACCTCTGGCTCTGTTTCTCTGTAATTTGCTGATCTGCCTCATTTTTAACATTTGCAGACTATTCTGTTGTATGGACTCCCATCATTGATGATTTGTTCATTTTCCCTGACATCTTAGTACAAAAATTTTCAAACAAACAAAGTTTATAGAATGGCTAACAAGACCACTTATACCTCTTCCACTTCGATCAGTAACTGTCCATTTTTGCTTTTTCTCTCCTCTTTCCCTGGCTCTTAATGTGTTTCCCACAGAACCCTTTGAAAGTAGGTTATAGACCTTACGGCATATCAGCTTGCATGTCCTGAGAATAAGAATGTTTCCTGTGTGCCCGCACCACCATTCTCACATCTAAGAAAATGCCGTTGATCCCTTAGTACGTGATATCTCATTCACGTTCAAATTTCCCTAATTGCCTCCAAAACGTCTTTTATAGCTGTTTTTTATTTTTAACCAGAGTCAATCCAGGTTCATGCTTTGCATTTGGTTGTTACGTCTCTTTAATATTGGGGGAATTTTTTGGGTACAGTCCTCAGGATATTTTTTAACAATATTGATTTTCCGAAAAGCCCAGGCCAGGTGTCTTGTAGAATGCCCCACTATTGTATTTGTCTGATTATACCCTTGTGGTGTCATCTAACATGGTCCTGTATTCTCCGTATTTCCCGTAAACCGGAGTTCTGGTCTAGAGCTATAATTTATCAGATCAGACTCCTACCAGTGACCATTGGGTTGTCTGCAGAGCCTCCAGGCCTGGGCTCCTAGCCGCCACGTTATTAGGCCTTCCTGCCCCTCCACAGCCCTGCCAGGAGGGGAGGAGAGAGGGTGAAGGGCTAGGTTCTGAGCCTTCGCACACTTGCCAGTGGGGGATTGAGGCCGGCATTTAGGGAGATGTAGGGAGAGGAGAGAAGCCAGGAGCAAAATAGTCTTTGGGGGCTAGATCGTGAGGGACCTTGAGTATTTATTATCAAGGGCTGATTTTACCTTGGGTGCCCTAGGGAGCCACGGAAGAGTCTAGGTAGGGAAGAGCGAGGCTCAGACTTAGGTTTTCAGAAGATCCCCTTGGCTGCTGAGCAGAGAATAGATCAGAGAGGGAGACTGAAGCCAGAGAAGAGGCTGAGGCAGGGACAGGGGCTCAAGGATGAGGCTGGACCACACTGGGCCTGGAGGAGCAGAAAGACACACAAGGGGCCTTGTGGATGGGTGGTAGGCAGAGCCCCCAAAATTCCTCATGGAAACCCCAAGTCCCGGGGTGACAGGCATGGAGGATCTGATCAGGAGCAGCATCTGAGGGATGCTGTTCCCTCATCCTGGCCCCCAAAATCTTTCCCAGGGGAGCCCCACGGCCCAGGGAATCAAGTACAGGGACCATGGCCAAGGGTGGGGATCAGAGACATCTGCTGTGACCCTCTCCCAGGTTTCCGTGCAGTCGCTACACGCCCCCGCCTTGCCTGGCGGTTTTGTTATGCTTGGTTTCCTAATAGGCTACAGGCCGCAGGCACAGGCAGCCCACATCAGGCGCTGAAAAACTGTCTGGGGGATGAACGGAGGGAATGAACTGACAGTGTGTCTCACCCTCTGGACCACTCCCTGGTCCACCCCCAGTGTCCGACTCCTCCCGCAGGCTCCCATCTCGGGGAGGCCCCCCTCCTGCTCCCCATTGCTCTGAGGAGGAAGAACAAACCCCTTCAAATGTCTACATGGCCCATCATCAGTGACTCAACCTTGACATCACTTGGGGAGAGTATTTTTATTTTTTAAGTTATCATATTATAAAAATAGCGCTTTTCCTTCGGTGTACAGCTCAATGAATTTTGACACGCGTATAGATCCATTTAACCCCCACGGCATCAGGAAGGAACAGTCCCGTCATCTCCAAGCACTCCCGTTCCAGCCACACCATCACCCCACCGTAACCCTGATGACCACTGACCTCTTTTCCATCACGCATTTTTGTCTTTTCGAGCAGGTCAAATACATGGAGTCACGCAGAACGTCATCTTTGAGACTGGCTTCCTTCACTTACTACAACGTCCTTGAGGTTCTTCTGAGTTTTTGTGTGTCTCAAGAGCTCACTCTTTTTGCTGCTTGTGTAGTATTCCATTGTGAGGATCCCCTCAGCTTGTTTATCCGTTCATCTGTTGAAGGATAATTGTGTTGTGTCCAGCACTTGGTGAGCTTTTAAAAATCCTGATGTTTGGGCCCCACCACCCCCAGAGAATCTGAAATAACTGGTCATGGGCATCGGGAGTGTCACCAGCTCCCCTGGTGATTAAATGTGCAACCCGGCAAAGACACGCAGCTCCCACAATCTGGCCCCTTCACTTCTCTAACTTAGCTCCTAATCTCCCCTACCCTTCACCCTCTTTTACTCTTCATCGTCCCTCAAACACACCAAGCTTCCTCCTGTCTCAGGGCCTTTGCACTTGCTGCCCCTTAAAACTCTTCCTTTCCTCGTTTGTCTAATTAACTCTAACATGTCATCAGGTCTCAGGATCTAAGCTAATCCCTCAACGAGCCCCTCCTGTGAGGGGAAGTTTTCTAATTTCACACTCGAATGCCAGCCTTGTAGTTCCTGAGACATTCATTTATCTTGGAGGGAACACTTAGTTCAGGTCTCTCCCCTCAAAAGAACGTGAGCGTCATGAAGACAGGGGCCACATGTGTTTATGTCATTAATTTATCCCCAATGATTAGCGCAGAACTTGATTTTTGTTGAATGAATGATTTAATGGATTTCTTTGGCATTTGCTGGACAGAGGACTTGAAAATTCCTTCTTGCAGCAATACAAGTGGATTGTGGATAAGACCCACTTTTTGGGGCTGGCCCCGTGGCA